CTCGAGGTTTCACTCACATGAAAGGGGGCTTTTCCAGTCAGACACTGGTATACAATAGTGCCTATGCTCCACAGATCGGCCTTGGCATCATAGTTCTGGGACATGATGACCTCCGGAGCCTGTGATCACACAAACCTCGTTTACAGCTTAAGGGGACAGTGACATTACAACCTGCTGGCACAGGACGGCAGAGTAAAAACTTACCATGTACATGGGAGAGCCACACAGTGTAGCAGCCATAGTGTTTAACTGCAGGTGTCGCGCAAATCCAAAATCAGCTGGAAGGACATACAGAGTTCGCATGAGTCTGCAACCCATTTTTGGAAAGACATTGTCAACCCAGCGGCATGGGTTAAAGCTATTACCGATCTTAATGCTGGTATTTATGGAGCTGGACTTGCGCCCCTCTGGGTGGCAGAGCAAAATATTCTGGGGCTTCAGGTCTCGATGGAGGATGCCTTTGCTCTGCAGGACTTTCATGGCCTTAGCGATCTGCTGCAGGAATACCCGGATGGTGTCCTCACTCAGCGTTCCTTTGGCTGTTAAAAGGAGAGATACACTATATCGGTTCAAATGTGGAACATGCAGAATTTTATTTATTTTATATACTTCACAGTATTTTATAGTAGAGCTATAATTACTTTGCAAATAATAATAATAATAATAAACTAAGGTCAAAAGTCCCAACATTATGACTAATAGGGAAATGACAACCTGATTTCTGTACACACCCACAAATTTTGTGTTGATTGTCAAGTAATTAGCAGAAGGTAGTCAAAAATTTCCAAAACCGAAGATCCAAAAACACCAAAATTTTGTGACCACTTTAAAACTTCTGCTTTTTTTTTTAAGCTTTGACTGGCCTAAATAGACTTCTATCAATTCTGATTTCTCTTTCAAAACCCTAACTAACAGCATTCAAGATGGTTTTTACTCTAGCCATCCTCAGGCAGGCCATTAATAAATACTTCACCAGTTCAGCCTGAATGAAACATGACCAGTGAATTCACTGGTCAGTACAAAAAGATTGAAATTGTGAGTTTTTATCTTGTTGGATAATCAACTGACAAGGTCAAGGAATAAGGAAAAATTGTCTAATTCCGATCAACAACTAATTTCTCGATGGGTCTCCAGAAAAAAATAAGTCAAAACTCAAGAAATGCCTTATATTGCAATATATTGGCAACAATGAGATTCCCAGAAATCTCAGAAACATGTGATTGCTCCAACCTATTAGTAAAACCCTTCAGAGTATGGAGTTAAAATCCTCCTTTTTTTTGCTTTGCCTCATAGTATGAAGGAAGACAAAGGGGGAAAAAAAGGTATGTGTGCACTTACTTTGGAGATACTCTGCCAGATCGCCTCCATTGCAGTACTGAAATTAAGTCACAGACAAGTCTTAACAGAAGCCTAGGCACATTTGCATAGTGAATGTAAAAAATACATATATTCGGTTTGCTTTTCAACATAAAGATAAATCCGTCTGCAGCTTTTCAATCTCCACTCACCTCCATTATGAGATAAATACATCCACCCATCTCCTGTTGACATGAAAAATACAAATAATCAGCTGAATGTTTTATTAAATACAGCTGTGGCAACTAAAACCTGACCAGATGAGTGAACAAACAGACAGAATCCTTGTTTGATAAATGGACTGAGATGGAAAATTATACAACAGTCCATCAGTGTCTTAGAAGGCACACCGACAGGTTGAACAACAAGTGTCAACACCTCATCTATTAGATGGACCCCACTGGGTTTTTTTGGCCTGCCTTATAACAACTTCTTTAAATCCTCGATGGCTATAACAGAGAACTCAGGAGCCTGAAACTAGATCCAGCTAAAGCTGGCGTTCAGAACCGGGCCCTCGAAACATCCAGGACTCTTTCCCTATTCGGCACCCCTATTTATTGCCAGGACAAGCACAAGAAAAAAAAAAGAAAGAAAGAAAATCCACCAGGAGCAGAACAGTGAGGCAATATCAAGTGAGGCAGAAGGTGCGAGAAGTTTAGGGTGTCAGTACAGCATGACTCGAGTAGAAAAGCAAGTTACACATTCCAGTTAAAGATACTTTGCCTGGAGTCCCAATTTAACAAATGTTTACCACTTGAAAAAGGGTTGAAAACACCTTATGGCAATAAATAAAAACGCAAGAGCGCTGTTAACCAAGAATGTCTTTGCTCCATAGTTACACCCAGACTGTGTTTTCTAAGCCATTGTTTGACCTGCTGCACCCTTGCCATCTGTCAGACATTGTAGGAGATCAGCTTAGCCCAGCCTACTGTCTGGCAGGTGTCAGTAAGGTGATAAGAGGAACGCACTGAGGGTAAACTCACATCCAACACATGGTATGTGCTGTGTAATATGTGCGACCTGTCCAGTTAAAAAACCATGAGATTAGCTGTACAATAGTCAAAACAGACAAAACAATCAGGTAGCTTTGTACTTTCAGATGTCACTTAGATGATTAAAATTATAATACAGCATGGTGGTTGCACAAACTAGGCAACTAGCAGAACTGGCCAAAGGCATAAACAAACAAAGAAACTGCTTAGATCCTACACACCAACAGAGGGCCCCCAGAGCAACAAAACTACAAAAAAAAAGACAAATTTATAAATGTACCACTGAGAAATCTGTATTACACAAAAGAAAAAAAATCTATCATAGCTTTCCTACACTATTAAGTATTAACGTGAATCAGAATTTCTTTATAAAAACAGTAACTCTCACATATCTAAACATGTAATTCCAGGTACTGTAAATCATGTGGCTTATAAGATTTAAGCAATGCAGGTTTGGTTGTACAGTCAACCAATAGTCAAGCAATATTGTTTTCTTCTTTTGTCTCTTTCCAGAAACCATCATAATCTCAAAGGTGTGATGCTTAAAAGTTCACGTAAAGATGAGATAAAAAAAAAAAAAAAATAAAAAGATGTTGAGTTGTGGTGGGTGATCACATATGGAAAGTCTGTTTAGAGGCCCGTCTGGTGCTGGGCTGACTCTAGCATCTCACATGAAATGTTGCAGCAAGTTTCATCATCTGGGAGTCAAGACTCTAACACAACCTGTTTTTGGAGATGCATGTGAGACTCAGCAGCGCTGACAAAAGCCATCCTTACCTGATAATCGAGTAGTCTGACAATATTCTCATGTCTGAGTTCCTGGAAGAGGTTTAAAATACACTACTGTTGTTAAAGGTGTTATAGAAGACAGTCACAAAAATAACGCATAACATATATATATATATATAGGCTATATACACACATTACCTTTAATATTTTGATTTCTTTTCCAAGCAAAGCCTGTGACTTGGAAAAGTTTTTCTTGTTGATGCACTTTACAGCAACTTCCCAGTCACGTTTCTTAAAAGAAAAGAAACAAACATGAACAAAGTGAGCAATAACTAGTGTCAAGGCTGATCTGAATTCGCCACAGATGGGGAAATGTACCTCTTTGTGTCTGCCTTTGAACACAACAGCAAAGGCACCGTGACCAACCAAGTCTTTCCTGTTGAACTCAAACTTCCCAACAGACTCCATGGACGTAAACATGAAGCTCTGCGCGGTGCAGAACGTCAGAGAAGCTGCGGCGGAATGACACCGGGCGGCTCCATGTCAGGCATGGAAGATGCCGCCTTCACGTTTCACGAGCCTCATACTGGTGGAAATTGCCGACAACGTGACGAAGTGAAGCCGTCAACACACACACAAAAAGTGGCAACAGCGTGAAGCAGCAAACGACGGCGCAGGCGGGTGAAACGCAACCAGCCAAAGTCCCAGCCGCGTCTTTAACACCGCCTCTCGATAAAAAGCCAACTTAGTGAAGCCTGGGCGTGTGGTCGTTTGTATTTAAACACTGAGCTCACGCTTTGTTGCGCCTCTCGCCTCTGCAACCATACGCAAGTTATTCTCGCCTCCTAAGGAGCATGCGCAAACAGCTGAAGATGTTTTTGTTGGTGGTGCCTTCAGGGCCATCCCGAAAATTAAACTTTTTACAGAAGCTACATTTAGCTGTAATTTAATTTACATGCGCTTTAACCTGCATGTCAAATAAAAACAGGTTCCTCACTTGAGGTTTAATGTACGTTTTAAAAATGTGTAGATGACAAGTATTCATTTCTAATACGAAATGAATACTTGAAACCTTCTGGTCATTTGTCGTTGAGTCACTGACTAAATTTAGGTTTTGACTGAGCCATTCTAATACAAGATTGTGTCTAAACCATTTTATTGTTGCTTTGATTATATATATAGCTATCTTTGTGTCCTCTGTGTTTTGCGGTCTCTAATAGTATGTTTTTTCAGGATTTCCCTGGATTTAGCTCCATCTATTTTCCCATCACTCTGACACAGAATGATCCAGCCACCGCCATGCTTAACCATGGGGTGGTGTGCTCAGCATGAAGCGCATTGCTTCATAACGTGTTATTCTTGGTCTCATCTTATCGTTTGCGTTTTTCTGTGTCTACTATAAGGCTTGCGGGAAACTCAGAACAACTATCTCGATTTTCTTTCAGCACTAATTTTCTTCTTGTGGCTGTGTTGCTCCTCCCTAAGACAGATTTATGGACTGAATGATTAATACTTCTCCAGCAGTGTTTTTCTATATTTGTGCATCGGTGTAGCTTTTCCTCGGCTGTTTTACTGCTTTTGCACAGCCTATCAGCAATGAAAGGCACTTTGTAAAATTGTGAAACTTGGGTTATTATTTTATAAACGTGTACACCTTAAAGTAAGAATGTGTCAAATCCGTTTGCTCCTTTTTTTCACTACAAAACTATGAACTACTGTGTTTAGAAATAACAGTTATAAACCTAAAAGAAAGAAACGAAGCAAATATTAAGCTTTTGAAAATCATTGTAAAAATTCTAAATGAAAGGAAAATGACAAATTCTTGGCATAAATATATATTTTTAAATAAATAAAATAGAACTGAATATACAAATTAAAATACTACAGGAAAAAACTAGCCCAAATCACACAAATGCTAAAATAATAAATTTTATTCTGATATCAAAAAAGTGAGCGCTGATCCACTTACAGTAAATAAGAAATGAAATTTTGGCACTGTGTACAATAAAGGACATTTTTAACAAAGTACGTATCCAGGAACAAAAACACCAACCCTAATCAATCTCAACGTTTTGGTTGAGATTGAAATACGTTTCATACTTTTTGTACCATGAAAATCTAGCAAAATGTAGCAGAAATACACAAAAAAACAAATACTTCACAGAATTTTGTAGGACACATTAAAATCATTCAGTTCTTTAAAAAGCATTTGCAATAATAATAATAACAATAATAATAATAATAATATTCCAGCAAGTATCTTTCAAGAAAAGAAAAAAAACACTGTGAACAAAAGTAATTTTGCAGTTATAAAAAGTTCCAATGTTACACAATACATAAATAAATATGGACTTTTAGGTTCTCTGTCATAGAATCTTCTGAAATGCTATTTTGTGCCGTTCCGAAACTATATTAATACTTTATCTACATAATTACATAGATAAAGTCAGCACTTTTTTCTTTTTGATGTGAAGTAGATTAACAGCTACTGTTGCGTCTTAAAAGTATAAAATAACACTATGTTTGAAACTAACACTATGTGTTCTTGGTCCTTTCGTCCACGATTATGCAAACAGTTCTGAGAACATTCTGAAATGTTGTTTCTGAACACAATAAAGTGTGCTTAATTCCTGCCTGCAAATCACAGCATGTGTCATCATAACATCAAACCAAAATCATCTTGATGAAAAGATCAATACTAATCCTATGTCTTACCATAGAAAGAAATCTACTTTTGTTATATTCAACCAATTAAGAGAAAGAAAGACTTGATGTAGATAACTTGTCACCTGATTATGTAGCTCATCATAGCCATAAATATGGTTCTTTTAGGTTCATCTTGCTCAAAGTAAATGTCTTGTTTTCTTGTTATTCCAATAATACACTCGGTAGAGTTCCTTCCCATCAAAATGGTCATTTTTTTGTGAAATGAAAAAAGCTTTTATAAGTTTTCTTACACTGCTAATTTGATTTATATGACTAAGAAAAATGGCACCAGTCTGGTTGCCAAAGTCTGCCCGAGCTCTGATTGTTTTGATTCAATATCGCCATTCAGTCTTCTTTGGTGAGATTTCAACAGCATTCCAGAATCTCATTTCTGATTCTGGGTCATCTAAAAGATTTATCTTTTCGTTTGTTTCTCATTTGTTTTACAGTTGCTGAGGTCAGTTCTAACACTTTTAAAGCAGACAAAGTTGATGCATTTGCTCCACATCTAAAGACATAAAGGGTTGTAAAGATCTGTATGTCATGCAGCCTTAGGTACAGGGACTATCTACAGATGCCTTACATTGTTCATTTGTCTTTTCTTTTGTTCTTTGGATGGGCTAAACTGAAGCAAATTTCATTTCAGTACACTGACAAATAAATTTTAATTCAGATTTTTTTGTCTTCTCTACTTTAAAAAACTGTTATGAAATGTGATCCTTCAAATGTAGCCAGAAACTTGTTTTACCTGAACTGACTGTCTCGTTTCTACGCTGCTCAGCAAAGATAATAAGGGTGAATGAAGGGGGGCTTGATTGTCCCATTTATCCAGAGTCTGGGAAACGGCTTCACAGTCCATTTAGGCTTTAACAATCACTTAGTTGTAACTTCACATAAAAAAACAAACAAACATCTGTACGTAAGAAAGGAGTGTAGAGTTTATGTCATCAATGTGAATTTAAACATTCGTTGCAAGATGAAACACTGGTTAGAGAATTTTGCAGCAGATGGAAAATATGTTTTTCTACAATCTAATAATTTTGCAGAAACTAAGACAACAACGTCACAAACATCAGCCTAATAGCTCATTTTGGTCTTTGCTTCAGAAATTTGCAGGTTCAGTTCGTCTCCCGAACTCTGCACTAGCTACTGGTGTGTTTCCTGCATGTGCCATGCTGTTTATTAGAGCATTTTGGTTCCTCTCATTAATCCCCTCCTGAAAAATAAGATATTTTTTTCTTTTACTTTGAGAGCAACACATAACATTCTGTGTGGGAGAATATCAAGTGCAGTCCAACAAGTCTGTTTGTCCTCAAGCGTGAACATATTATACAACTTCAAATTGACTGCATGTAATGACAGAGTGGAAGAGCTCTCTGGCCAGTGTTTGCCTTTCCACCCAAGTGAGCCACACATTGCTCTCCTGTCACACAGCGGAGAGGTCAAAACGGTTGGCCGAGTTGGTGCTTTTGTCCCATGTGTTCATCTTAGTGGGAGTTACACCCTCCTTGTTTCCATTCATCTGTTTTGTGAGACAGGAAAAGGGAACATTAGGCTTTTAGGAGCAAAACAGTTCAGTTTTGTTGGCACAAATGCGTCAATGTCGACACTCACAATGTCAGAGTTGAATGGTTTCACATTGGCGTTTCTTATAGAGCTGCTGGTGAGAGACCAGACCTTGGTTTTGTGCTTGAATGCAGTTCTTACCTGCAGCAAGAATCCGAAAGCATGAAGTCCAAGAATCAAAAGTATTAGAAGAAAAGAAAACTGAGTAATGTTGTAAAAGAGAGACATTGCTGCTTCTTGCTAATAAAATCTTCTGTGATGAAGATATGTCGAAACCTTTCCCTCCTCCTACAAATTTATTATGCTCTTGCTTTTTCTGTCACTACTGAATGTTTCAGATTGTCAAACAAATGTAATTATTTTACGAATTAATGGACAAATGTGCACCCGTGTCAAAAAAAGTCAAATTAAATTGCCCTTAAGTTTAATAACTGGCTGTGTCAACAAAATTCCTGACAGCTCTTTTAACAAATGCATGCCATTCTTTTTTTTTACATTTTCAAATATAAATAATATTGAAAGATGTGTCTAATTTCCCCTGTCTTTTTACAGTCACGGATGACTTTGTATTTGTCTATCACAGAAAATCCACGCGATTATTACAAGACAAAGTATGAAGGAGCTAAATACATTAATACTTTAATTAATGTACTTTAATATAATACATATGGCAAGAGTTTTGCCCCATACCTCAGAGTTGAGAAGACAGTGGAACAAGAAAACAAAGAACCCCTGAAAAGAAAGCAAACAATTAATCAAGTATGAAATTGAAATAGCTTGAATATGAAATCAAGATTGAATAGCAAAAAACTTACTTGTAATGAGTTAAATACAGCAAAAACATATAAAAACGGAGTCGTGTGTGTGTTGAAGGCAAGAACTCCAAAGATCCAGGAAATGCCGAGTATGGGCAGGAGTACTGCCACTGCTTTGGCTGTCAGCCTTCAAGCAAACCGAAAGATAAACGTGATTACAGCTTTTAAGTAGAATAAATATGTTGTGTAAGTGGAAGATTCTGATCGTGCAAACAAACTCACTTGACCGCGTTAGCGTCTCCGTGAACCTTATAATTCTCCCCACTGATTCTTGATATGATTCTTGTCACAGATATCAGGATGCCTATGTTAACCTGGGCGTCAAAGATTTGAAAATAAAAAAAAAAAAACTATGCAAAATACACAGGAAATCAGGCAAAACTGTGCTAAAAATAACTCATATTTTCAAGAAGTTTCTCACCACAATGACGAAAAGAGCAGGTGCCACAAATGCCCAAATGGCTCCCATCTCCAGCGACAGCCAGCAGCTGAACCAACAAGGGAAAGTTACAAAGTTTCCCATGACCAGTAAAAGGCTTGCACTGTTTTAATGCAAATTAAAGCATCATGATGCTAATCTAGACAGTCCTCCATAACATCAAAAGCTGCTGTTTTCACTTTCTCTCACAGGTGACGTCATTCTTACGCAACGGCGGCCATGGAACAAGTTAAAGTCCTCACAGTCCCACATGCGGAGGCTGTACTTACTTGACAGTCTCTCCGTAGCTTTTGAGGGCCGATGTCGCAGACACAACACAGATCAGTAGTGGAGAACCTGGGAAAAGAAAGTAACGAAACATTCAGTAATGTAGCATTAGGCAAGACTGACGTGAGCTGGAGCACGATGGGGGGCATTAATAGGTTTAGGTGGCCAGATTTACTCTGATCATTTCCTATCTACAGCAGATGCATCAAACTGTGGAAGGAAGTATTGTAAAATTGCAACATATAATATAACACCATGGCAGTCTATCAATAGTAATAGTTTAAATTCAAGCACCTACTAAGAAAAACAACAAAAAAATTAATTGTGCAAATATCTAGGAAATTTTAAAATGGTGCAAATGTGGTGCTTTATTCCTATCCATCCCAATCCTTAAAATAAATGTTTCAACTAAAGCATATTTTGTTGTACTTTTCCATTTTTAAAACAGTTTAGCTAATTTTGGCTAATTTGTTGACATGCTGCACCATCCAAAGTGTTAAATATTAGCAAATACAAATATAGCTATAAGCGATATGTAATTTATTAAAAATATATACATACGTGTGGTATTATGAGTCATTTAAATGAGACTTTGATATAAAGAAAATAAACACAATAAAACAAGCGTGTACATTTGCATATACTTGTTTTTCTTTTCACTGTATTCTGCAGCTGTCTTAAAACCATTTAACATTTTTTTTCTCCACTGAATAAGTGTACTCAAGATTATAATAAAAAGAGTGGGATCATGCAGCAATAAAAAAATTGTGTATTTTATGACCTTTATGCATTTTTACATGGGATGCAAACAAGTGGACATCCACTAGATTTACAAATAAAACCCACAAAAAACCCACTAATTTGTCTTTGTTTAAAAGATTGTGAATTGTATTTTTAGCAGAATTTAGATTTATGATGTTTTGGAGGAGAGTACACGTTTTCCTCTGCGTCTTTTTCCCTGTTGTATTTTGAAGCAGAGCACAAACTCGCCCCTACTTCAACAGCTTCATAACATGATAACCTTTCTGATAACAATCTTTGACTGTAACTTAATTCTGTTATTTTGAAAATACTATTTTCTAATAACACACCCCAAATCTGAGATATGTATTAAGCACAACCAGATGTAGCAAAGTCTCTGTTCGGGAAGGACTTTGTGACATATCTGTCAGTGAAAATGAGCAATTGGAAAGAAGAACATGCTGCACAACAGCAAAACATAACCACGATTTAAAGTAATAGTCGATCAAGAACATACAATATAACTAATGGGTGAATATTAATAGTAATTTTTGTTGTGGAAATTCAATGCAACTATGCATTGAAAAACTGCTAAAACTGCAATCGTCATGATATCTATATTTGAAAACTAAACTTTTATCCTTTTTCGCCAACGTTATTAAGAGTTGTTGTTGAATATTCAAAGAGCTACAGGTTGCACTTTTCTGACATAAAGCCTGCTGCATTCATGCCTTATTTTGCTTTGTGCTGTTTGTCTTCCTTCATAGCTTTGAGTCCAGAGGAAGACTTTAATCACTTTACGTACTCTTAAATCTACAAAACCTCAACCCGGAAGGGCTGCTGCGTGTCCGTCAGCGCTGAGTCTAGTTTCTACAACGGTTTAATTTTGTAACTTTCCTAGAAAATAATGGCTTCTTGTGCAAAAAAGGAATCAGTCATAAGGGAGGTATTAAGACACAAAGTGGAAAAGATTTATTTTAATTGCAGCCAGCAGCAGACTTAGTTTCCTTTCTTTCTTTCTTTTCTTTTTCTTTTTTTTTAAATGAGCATTTTTTTTTGTTTTGCTTTTTTATTTCCATTTCAGCTTTACTTCTAGCTGCCAGACAAATCTCTTAATTATAATGTTCAGGGAGTCACACAAAAGGACAAACTGCTCTGGCCGGTAGGAAAACATAAAACAGGATTATGTCATACTAAGAGGTCCAATATGAAAAAAATAAATAAAATAAAATAAAATAAAAAAATAATTTACACATAATCATCAATCAGAGTACAGCCTTAAAAACACAAATATCCCATTCTGTTTGCACATTTACAGCTCATTTAAATAACCTAATGTCTTACCTAATACCTTTTTTAAATGCAGGTTTAATCATTGACTGAATCATGGTATTTTATTTCATTATACCCAAACAAAAGATTGTTAAATATAATGACATGTGAGCTAAAGTCAGTCAAACAATGTGGAAAGAAATTCTTAATACTTGGAAGAAATGAAAAACAAAAAATGTACCCCATCCAACGCCATAGTAGTAAAAGTGTTTGCTGCCTTCTGAGCCAAACACCTTCACCACCATGCTGTAGAGATGCAGACCCTCCACCAGCATCCAGGCAAACGCACTCAGAAAGAAGAAGTGAAGCAGGACGGCCATGACCTTACAGGGCAGCTGCAAAATGGAAGAAAATCCAAGTTAATAGTGAGATCCTCCACTGATTTACCTGTTTATGAATGACAATAAAAGGAAAAGTGTTGCCAAGTAACACGAAGACAGTGTGCATAAGAACAGTTTAACAGGACAGTAAAACGTTACTATTCGTCACAACTTTTTTTTAATTCTGTCAATGTTTTGATCATCATCCCTCATATTTAAACGTCATGAAACAGACTTCAAAGGTTTTTAATGTGGGTTTTTCTTTTGTGAACTTTTTAAGTCGACACAAGGACAGAAAAATATAGCTGAGTATGGAAAACACATAGTTTTATTTTCCATGATTCTTTCGTATTTCATTTTTCATCCTGGCCACCCAGGAACAGGCCCTAAACACGAGAGCAATAGAGGCCCAGATCTACCACACCAGACAAGACCCAAGGTGTAGGTTGTGCAAGGAGGCCCCTGAGACAGTCCAGCACATCACAGCAGGGTGCAAGATACTGGCAGGGAAAGCATACATGGAGCGACATAACAAGTGGCAGGCATTGTGTACAGAAACATCTGTGCAGAATATGGACTGGAAACCCCGAGATCAAAGTGGGAAAACACCCCCAAAGGTGGTGGAGAACGCCAGAGCTAAGATCCTGTGGGACTTCAGATCCAGACAGACAAAATGGTATGGCAACCAACCAGACATTGTCGTAGTGGATAAACATCAGAGGAAAGCCGTTGTGGTTGATGTAGCAATACCGAGTGATTGCAACATCAGGAAAAGGAGCACGAGAAACTGGAGAAATACCGGGCCTCAGGAAGAACTGGAGAGGGCCTGGAGGTGAAGACCACATTGGTGCCTGTGGTCATCGGGGCCCTCGGGGCAGTAACCCCCAACTGGAGCAGTGGCTACAACAGATCCCAGGAACAACATCAGACATCTCAGTCCAGAAATGTGCAGTCCTTGGCACAGCCAAGATACTGCAGGACCCTCAAGCTCCCAGGCCTCTGGTAGAGGACCCGAGTTCAGAGGATAAGAACCACCCGCGGTGGGTGAGAAGGGAATTTTTTATATATATATAAACAAAAAAAACAAAACAAACACATGACACCAAAAACAAAACACCGTAGAAAAAAAAAAAAAAACATTTGTATGATCATGTCAAAACGCCATCTGAAAACTGACTGATGAGTTAGAAAATATAAAGACGGAACTCTGAAGTGGAAAAATTGTAGAAACAGTGATATTTGCAAAGACCTATATCTGGCATCAGGATCATCATCTGTACAGTTAAAGTTGCTGCAGGACGCACTGACCGTGCCCGGTTCAAAGCAAGCGCTGATGAGCAGCAAGATCTCTGCCACCAGGATGGCGAAGGACAGGTTGGCGTGGATGTGGTAGCGCTCATTACGGATGGTACTGACAGACCTGCAACGTGATCCAAAAACAAAAGTCAATGTTACACGTTCATAATCATGCAATACATTAGTGCAAATGTGAACATGTGTTTATTAATAAGTAATAAGTGTGTAGCTGATTGCATAAAAAAACTGAGGCTTAAAGAAATTACATCACAACAACTGTTGATAATACTCACGAAAGAACTGCAAATGTAACCAGAGTGATGGCCAGGCAGAAGATGGATATTGAACACCCAACATACCCAATGGTTGAGAGTGCCATCTTGTGGCCAGGGGTGAGCTGTATAAAGAGACAGATCACTGTCAGAACTGGACAAGACGTACATAAAAGCTTAAGCTTAACTAGTGCAAAAAAAAAAAGGTAATTGGAAGGGCTTCAATTAAGTTTGCTATGCCTTACATTTAAAGGAAGCCAAAAAAGTTTGAAATAATACTTGTAAAACTGACTTTAATCTGACAGATTACTACTTCATGATATCTGCAGAAGGTGGGTTTAACCTCTATGACCTGTATAATTTTTGCATATGCATATATGTGTATATATAAATATCTATACATTCAGAAGAGAGTTTTGGCCAAGTGCTCTAATCCTGTTTTGGTGCTCAGGCTATTTTGAGAGTGTGGTTTTGATTCTCTATGAACTGTTTAAGCATGTGCCTTGTTATTATGAGAGCAGAAGACTCTCAAGCTTCAGGCGAAAGGAAACGTGGGCTGATCCCTTGGAGCTGAGGGAAGAAGCAACCCACTAATTAGAGACCTACTCTGAGAAAGTATAGCATCAAACAGACTTCTGCTGCCTAAATAGAAAACTGGCTCACTTTGCTGCAAGAAGAAATCCACTTTCCTCTTTACGAAGAAAAAAAAACAACAAAGCTTATTGTGGATGCTGACCATACTTACATTGCACGAAGGCTTACATATTATAGAAGTTTGGATTGTAAAGGGTCTAATACTGTACAGGACACAGTTTAGAGCGTAATAAATCATTGAGAGATTACTACTGTTCTTGTGTTTATTCAGCTAAAAATAAACACGATGCGTTTTTACAAATTTGAAACATGTTCCTGTCATTTTGTCTTCAGTCCCTTCTGTTCTGCTCTCCTATGTGAAATCTACTGCAACAACATTGCTTGAAAATCTGCCAAAAGACGAGTTCTGAATTCCACGGTGACTCTGGAGGAGTTGTCGAGACATGCCGCTCTGGTGGTGGGAATCGACTGTCAGGACAACTGTTAGTAACGCACAAATTTGGCAGAAGAATGACGCAAATTCACGTTACAAATTATTATTATTATTTATTTATTTTTTTTACAATTACACACTTTGTGTCAATCAATTACATACAATCCCAATGAAATACACTGTGGTTCGTGGTTGTAACATGACAATATGCTGAACAATTTTATGTTTCGCAAGTAACTGTGGCCTATTGTGGACAATAAAATGTATTCGGGGCCTCCCTGTGGGTCTGATTACTGTGTGGTAAACCAGTGAGTAAACCACAAAGGCCAGTCCAATAATATTCTTAAAAACAGTCTTATTTTTTCAGAAATCCAGAGGATGTGGTGAACTGTTGAATAAGAGTGAACAGCTGGTGATTAAGAACTAACGTTTCCCTACTTAACAGCTTGTTTTTTGTTTTGTTTTGTTTTTTTTGTTTTGCGCAGAAAGAAAGATGCATGCTATCTGTATGCTTATGGATATATTGTATGGAGTGAAAAATTTAATAGAAGACTGCATTCATTTCAAAACCTTTTTTAGGACTGCAGGTGAGCAGTGTCGTTTCAGTCTGGTTGGCCACTAAAACACAAGCAAAACACATGCGGCGTGCTTTTGCAAAGAGCTGAAGCTCAGATGAGCGTTTTATTAACAAAGTCATTTGACTCGAGGTGAAAACAATCTTTTAAATGAATGTTATTCTTGCTGTTTCTGTTGGAATGCAGCGGGGAGGTGTTCTCGATCAAACTGCAAACCATGGACTACATCTCAGGTTCTAAAGGTTCTAACATATGAAAATGCATGGCAGTTCCAGGAAAATGAATTGATTTGTAAGACTTGCCACACAAGAACGCACGGTGAGACTGCAAAGTTCCATCTGAGCCACTTTTGTGAAGAAAGGGTGCGGGGTGTGTGTGTGGGGGGGGAAACATAACTAAAGCACAGATGTCTGATTGGGCAAAAGCCAAAACCATCACATCAGCGCCTATAAGAATAATAATGATATCAAATGTCAAGCACGGTGTTGGAAGGGTAATGATTTGAGCTTGTTTCACGACCGCAAGACAAGGGGTATCGGTAGTAATTGAGTCAAATCACAACTCCTTGGTATGGCTGTGATTTCAGAAACCATCTGACGTCTTAAATGTGGTCACAAACAAGACAATAAAATTCAAACAACAGCACATCTACTGCAGAACTGCAGAAGGTTAAATTAATAAAGCTGATGTAGCGGTAAAATTAAAGTCCAGCATTCAACCTGATTCACACGTGTTGGCTGATGAATTGCAGTCAACAAGTCTGGACCAGAGTTTTAATTCACTACTCCTTATAATATAGAGGGTTTGCTATTCTTATTTAGTTTTGACATTTTTGCTTTGGTTTTGGTAAATACTTGTTTTAAATGTTTTGATTATAACAACACTTTCAGGCTAAAAAGTACTTGATTATTAGTATTTAAGTGTGGATAGCTTAAAAAAAAACAGCTTTAAAGGTCAATTAAAAAAAAAATATATATATATATACCTCCAAGTGCACAACTTGCATGAGGACGGCGAAATTGGTAAGATGGTTGCACATGCACACAGAGTACGACGAGTTTCCATCCGAGCGAACACAGCCTTCATTGGACCACACTCCCTCATTAGTACTAAGTCAGAAGACAAAATGTAGGGATTATTTACATGGCAAATGCATTCAGCAGAAAGATTAAAAACTGAAGGATAAATAAGCAGACAAGGCAGAGTTTATCTGAGCACTGCTGGCAGCGTTCACTCAATCTAATCCTGCGTGGGAGGCACGCGCACTTCTCTTTGCTGACTCTGTCGGGATAATTTAATAATTCACATTTTTCATGAGCTGCAGGGCAAAGGGGAGCGAGAGGAGGAAGTCTTTGAATCCAACTCAATCAGACTTCATTTTAAAATGATTTATGCCCTCCAAACAGCTTTTTGGATCCAGGTTTTAGAAGGCAATATCTCCGCGGAGGACTGTTGCCTAATATAAAACAGGAACAGCAACACATTTATCACTGGATGTTTTCGGTTCGGATAAGTTAAAAAAGAAAATAGACCTTTTCCAAACCTATTTTTTTTTTCTTTCTTCTCCGTATAATTTTTTAGCCCTGCAGGCTGAACATAAAACTAAAAGAAAAGGACTTGAGAGATGAGATCTGGTTTGTGCTATGGATAAAAGAGAGATTTAGCATCAGGACAATAGACACAGACCCACCTGTAGTCCAAAAAGGCACAGTAGAGGAAGACTTTATTGCTCTGGTTTAGCATTTGTTCTTGCTGTTCTTTAGTCTGAAAAAGAATGGTGAAATGGAGAGAACCTTTTAATATTTTTAAAATCAGAAAAACAAAGAAAAAATAAAAAGAAAGATTTTAGATGTCAAAATATTGAGCGTGCAAGGGGGAGAGTGAAAGATAATTACTTTAAAAAAAACCTACAAATTATAATCCAGGATGTTGCCTTTTATAGAAAAACCAAATGAAAACCAGAGTTTCTCTGCTCGAGCAAAACTACAGCAAGAGGAGAGTTACTATGTAAAATTTCAAACACTTGAGCAGTATATAAATCTCCCCGTCCCTCAAGAATCTTATTTGATTTTAAATCACTTTTTCCATGTCATTCTTTGTTATGAGATTTAGAATCTCCTGGGACAGTGAGCTAATGGCTGCAGTGCAAGAATGCGGTAATTGGGGTTTGGCCCTGGTTTCAGGTTCAGACCACTACCCTTCTTAATCTGTAATCTGAGAAGGAAAACAACACTTATACCGACTGGAAAAGTGCATACAGCGAAACTGCACACGTCTCCCTATTCCGTGCGCTCCATCTTTCCAAAAAATCTGCATGAGATGGACTACGTGTCTGCACCGTTTCCTCCTGGAAAACGTTGAGAGTGCGACTGGCAAGACGGCTCGTCTGGTTCCCAGCCCCTGAGCCTGCTGCATAGCACCGAAAAAGCACATCACAACACCTTGATTTCGTTTTGTAATCAAAACGCTGCTCCTATTCTGTCGGTTTTGCGCATGCAACTCTTTAGTCATCACACTTGAGATGAACGCAACAGACATTCAGCTCATTAATGCAGCTCTGGAGCCTCCAGGACCTCGTCACCCCCTTCCCATCATCACCAGTTGCTGGCTAATTTCAAGGAATTTGCGATATGTAAAAAAAAAAACAACAACAGCAAAAAACCCCAACGACATTAAGGAGAGACAAAATGCAGCTGGCAGACAGTACGTATTTCATCATGGTTTCACATTTGCTCTTACTAAACCTTTGATGCTTCTTTGCAGCAAAAGCAAAAAAATCTTTTTTGATTTTACAAAAAAGATTACACAAAGGATTATTGTCACGCCACCATATGTACAACACACCATATGACATGTCGGTCAACAAACGGACCATCACACACTTCCTCTCTAACAAGTGCACACGGTAAACCCGGCTTGCTCTTTCCAGTCGAAATCTCGGCAAAGTTCAACGACCTGATTGTCACTTTTGAGCGTCTAGGCTCAAATCGTTTCCATTTAAAATAACGCACTCGAGTCCTACGGCCTCAGGATGTTCCAGTCGAGGCTGGAGCTGGAGCTCCAGCTCTTTATTAAGAACAGAAGGCCAACAAACATCCGCCCAGGAAATCAACCGGAGCCTCGTAAGAGGAGCAGGACAGGGGGGATAAAGAGAGAGCGAGAGCTAGCAACGGCAGAGTGACAGGCTGATAAAGGAGAACAATCTGAGGGACAGAGGATGATAAATCATTGTCAGAGTGTCTCCAGGGCTTCTGTGTTGTGGTGTGGTATTTGGCAGGCCGTGAAACTGAGCTTCAGTGGATGGGCTTTTTTTACTGAGCCACCCTGTATTTTCCACAGCTGCGGGTGAAAATCATGGGCAAAATCTCATTTTCAACTTAACTGAGAGCCACTGTGATCTCGAAAGACCTCCTGTGAGTGCTTGTGCCTTGTAAACGACTTAAACCAGGGCTATAGGGTCACCTTTGACACCAAAAAGAGTTCAGATAAGGGCATAGTCACATATTAGAATGGCCTAGTCAAAGCCAACATGGAAGTTCAATAAAAGATTTGAAAAAAAAACAAAAAACTAATGTTACCAAGCTCCAATTATGTCAGAGGAGATATTTTTAGTTTGTACAAGTGCAATGCTGAGGAAGTAAGAGGATTTTAAAGTGTCAGTGCAGAGAGAGGTGATTCTAGAAAGTATTGATGTAATCTTTTTTTTTATCACAAAGATGAATGTTAATCACAAAAATGTTTACTTAAGTTTGTGGTTGAAAAGATGCCAAGAAGTAAGAAGAACAAGATACCCTTTCAAGAGTCTCACAGCAATTATATTTCTGCAGTTTATTTCGAGAGAAGTCGCAGTTACAGGCAATAAGTGGATATGTTAAAAGAAACGCAAGCAGACCGCCCATGTGGAAAAAAATTAAAGCTTGGGGGATAATCTTCGACAATACTTCACTTTGATCAGACTTTAAACTTAAAACTATGTCATCAGTCAAAGTAGCGGCTACGAATTCAGTGCAGCGAGCAAAGACCTAAATGGGGAACAAATGACTGCAAAGACAATCGAGTGTCAGCTGCCAGCTGAAACAGCTGCTCGGCGATCCAAATACAGTCAACCATGATGCAACTCCGCTGGAGCCACTGTCATCTCTTTGAATCGGGTGGAGTAATAGGCACTGACGGCGCCTGGTTAAACATCTGCTCTTGTCAAAGCTTCTTGCTTTGACTTCCACTGCAGATACGCGTCTCATTAGTCAACAAGCAAATCAGTAAAGAAAACACATCGTCCAGCAGCTCAGCTTGGAAATCTGTCTTCTGACCCACCGAGTCGGGAGATTCTGGAGCGACAGAACAGATCTCCAACTCTGAAACAGTTTGTCCTAAACCTAAATAGATATAAATCCTATCTGCCGTTTCCACAACATTATAAAACTTATCTTGACTTAGTCCCCATAATTTTCTTTATTTTGATCATTTCTACACTAAACTGTGACAAATGCTAAACAGTCAGAACTCAAGTAAGGAGTCACATGCAATGTCCCTCAGATTCAGTCTAACATAGTTGCTGGTATTCATTATTGAGCAATGAATGTATACAATATCTCTACTAAGAATACAATACAAATTCCATCCTGTTTTTTTTGCTGGAAAAGGACATCTGCTGGTTTTCTCTCTGTTTCCACCTCACCTGGCACAACTATAACACAGGAGGAGGCAGACATACTCTAACACCAGAGGTCTGAAATAAGACTTGGGTTTTGCTAAGTTTAAAAAGAGGAAAAAACTTGAATAAATATACAACAGCATGACGGATGAAGTGAAAAGGAGAAACTGTTTCCCTTCGCTTCAAACTCTCCAAATACTTCAGAGCAAAGTGAGCCAATTTGTAATTTCCGCTCATTCTGTTTGGTAAAGATTTGAATTCAGGCAACATTCAACACACAGATTCCCACCTGTTGCACTGGGAGAGGTGAGCAGAGGGCGCAAAAAAACAAACAAAAAGAGAGAAGACTTTAATTTACTTAGGGTTTCAGAACAGAAGGTCCATACACTGCAAAAACACAGAATCTTGAAAAGTACTTATAATATAGTGGACATTACGAGTTACTTTTCAGCCAGATGAAAGAGCTTGCCTAAGTGATTAGAATCTTCATATTTATGAAAAAAGTTTTGGATCTAAATGAAATAATAATGTGGCAGTGGATGTAGTAGTTTTTTTTTTTTTTTTAATCAATATTGACTTAAAACAAGCTAGTATTTAATGCTGAGAAGTTACTTGCCAGCTAGTTTTGTCTTATTTCAAGTGTACGAAGATACTTGCGGTAGAAAATAGACCAAAAATACTGGTAGGATTTTTTGGAGTTCTTCAATTTAGTCAGAGAATTAAAGACCGTACAGCAGTACATCTGGAGAGGAAAGAAAAGTGTCAATTTAAAACACTAAGCGCTCACTGAGCCGTCTTATGCCCCGACATCACCCGGGCCGTGCCTGACTGAGCACAGAGCTTTTCGGCACTGGTGGCCCTTAAGCTGGTCCGCACACAGCAGAGCAGAGCAGAGCAGAGCAACAACCCGAATCCATCCAGAAAACTCTACGGCCGCTCGAATGAGATCATGGCATCAGGGGACGTGTAAAAAGACATGCAGCTGTTGGCTCTGCTCGCTCTCTGTGGTGGACACTGAAAACAAGAAGACGTGTTGAGTCGCACGCGGTGTGAGGAAAACTGGGGACAATTAAACAAGTCCAGGAGTAATTCATACAGGGTGGGTGGTGCGTATTCACAAAAAAAAAAACCAAAAAACAAAACAGCTATTGCTGCAGAGACAGCTAAAAAAAAACCTAAAGTCATGAGTGGTGGTCTGGATACATCAGTTTGTGAGTTTAATTCCCACATGTTTCTTTCTTTTAACTGTGGACTCTTTTCCAGAAATAATATGCTAAAATGTTGGTAGTTTAAGACCTTCAGCATCAAGTTCAGTAATAAAAAATGTACTTTTTTTATGTGGGGTAAATAAGGTAAATACCTTAGTGTCTCCAGCTTAAAAGATCATTATGTACAGTGCATTAGTATATTAAATGTGGCGACATTAAACAAAGAAAAAATGTTAATAAATTCCTCATACTGCCATTAAAGTTGTCCAATAACAGCAGGAACAGTCTTTAATGACGGTCCCTCATTCGTCATCCTGTCAGTCTCCACAAATAACCTTCTTCCCTGACCTGGAAAGAAAAAGAAGTTCAGAACTGGCCTACTTCCCAAAATGAATTTCCTAGATGACTCCACTACACAAGTATATATTTTGAATTTCAAAGCAGCTTTGAACAAATGGATCAAACTACCTTTACAGCTATTCGAGAGCAACTTGAGTTCTCTTTGACTGGACATGTGATAAAGCAAAAGAAAACTTGTTTGGGGTGGACATTACTAATTCCATCTTTTTTTTGTGGCAATGATGTCCCCAGAGTAATTCTGTCCTGGGTGGAGATTATTTTGTGCGAGACGTTTTGTCTCAAACCTTTTAAGGAAATGAAATGTTGCATCCACAAACTTACTAGAGCTGGACAAAGACACGTTTCGAATTTTTATCATAACAGTAGTAAATTACGTCTTCCTCGGAAAACCTAACGTCTTAGGCTGTAAATTTTTTTTCAGAAACAACATTTGTGACATTTGAGTTATGATATGTATATTAAAAAAACAGGGTGTTGAGAAAGGGACTATCATGAAAGTCTCTAAATACTTCTGGCAAGAGAGGAATGGCAATGACCAGAGCTCCATCTGCGATTGATCAGTGTGTTGGCTCACACGGCTTGTGTTTCTCTGTGGGTGTTGGTGTATGGAAGGGCGTGGGTGGCTGAGGGAGAGGGAGGCGGAGGAGAGTATTTTGCCCACAAGGTTTAAGTTTAGGCGTGTTCTGGAAGCTATAAAAAGACTGACAAAGAAAGGCGCGAGCATTATTTTGACTGAGAGAGCTGATACCAGCAGCTTGAGTACAAAAGATAACTATGGGTATCAGATAGGCTAAGCAATTTTTCGGCACTAATTTCAGTAAACAGTTCTTTTTAACCTCCTAGATTTCAAGGAAGCAGATGTCTTTATCGACACAGAGCGTTGCATTTTCCTGTTCTGCAGCTAGATTTGTGGTAGCCCCCTGCCAAATCTCTTTCACAAAGCTTGTCATATTGTGAATGTCATAATTGGTGAAGCATGATGTTCCAGGTAAGCGCGCGACATCAGCACACAAAGTTCTCTCTGTGTGTTGTTAAAACACTTTTTATTGCAACATGTTTTTGAACATCCTGCAAAGATTAACTGAAAAGCAATAAAAAAAAATCTGTTTGAAGGGGAAAAATAAATAATAAATGGTGGAACGATCCTCTTGCATAAGTGTGTACATCTCTTGATGCAGCATCTTTTGATTCAATTTAACATTGTGCTGACTGAGCTGACTTAAGACACGTCGAGGCAACTGTTACTAAACAAAGGAAGATGTAGCTACCCTTATCAAAATCTGTTCATCAAATCATCTTTCATTTCATCGTACACTGTAGTACGATAAGCCTTTCAGCGTTTGTACACAACACCAGCGATATCAGGAGGGAAGAAGAGGACCAAACAGTGCTGCATGTCCCTGTACGAGTCTGTTAACGTTTACCTACAGCCTCCAATGCCTCACAATCCTTCATTCTGTTCTCTATTCAAGGTTTCCCAAACGGAACCACAACCACAAATGGCAGGAATAAATCAGCGACGGTGACAGACTCCAATCAGCGCCACAGATTAATGCAGTGAGAAAAGCATGTGGGAATCCAGCAGTCTTGCTAACTCCTTGTCAGTATGTTGAATCTGCTCCGCGCCATATTAGAGGCAACGGTAACTTAACTCCAACCGAGTTGGCTGCTGATTTGCTCTGCTGAGCTGTTCTTTGAATCAAAAGCGCATTAATCAAGAGAGCAGAGTCGATCCGCCATCAACCATATGGCTTTGACCTCAGCTTGACTGAGCACCTGCCATGATGCAGAGTTATTTACAGGTTGCCGATCCCATCAATCTCGATTCTGGTTTTTTTCTCCTTCTATCAAAGCAAGTGTCAGATAAAAGACACAGAGGCCTGGGCTGTTTATACTGCAGACGGCACACAAGACCTGTAGCTATGGCAGCATGGAAAGACTAATAAAGGAGTTTGCACGTTTCTGCTTCAGACCGCCGCAATGTTTAAATAGACTTGTTGAGTACTCCTCTACAGAAGCACGTTGGATAAAATACAAAACGTAGCTGGAGAAATTGTGTCATGTCAGGACAAATTTGATGTTAAGCTAGCTAGTGTAAACCATAAAGACTCAATCGTCTGTAGAAAAGCATAGTTTATGATGTATATGTGTGATATTCAATTGTCTGGAGGCACATTTTCCAGAGTGGGGCTATTCTGTTGAATGGCAGAAGCACAATTATACTTGCGAGAAATAAGTTTTTATCATTTTACATTGGTTTTACTCCTAAAGACACATTTTTTAAATATTTTAATATAAAAACAGAATCTTATTGGTGTAGATCTGGACACTTGCATCCTCTATGTAAGACAACACTTCTGCCGGGCAATTCTGTCACGATTAACTTTCAGTTTCATGGTCGGCATACAGTTTTTAGATCTGGACTGCAGCACATAGATCTTTGAAGTTATGCTTTTATAAGTCTTACAGTTGAAATATAGAGTTGTCCTGATGGAAAAAAACCTTCCAGGCTCTCAGGAAAAGCTATCATCTTGATGACAGAAGCTCTCTCTTTTAAATTCCAACATATGTCTGAGGAAAACCTTTACAGGTCAGCGAGGCCGTGGATACCGATGTATCATCTCTGCTGACAGGTTTTGCAACTTCATCCTTGGTACGCTTTAGATGAAGACTGATTGTGTTTACTTAAAGAATTCTGAAATGCAGAGTGATCCAACCAAAGAGCATGTGTCCACAGTACACCTATTTATACAAAATGAGCTCATGCTCTAAGAAGTCGGATGTATTTTTGCACAGAGTTCTGAGATACATGGCAGTCCACCGTGTCACACAGCTCCAGCGTACATTTCTGGATACAGAGGCAGATTGTGTGCAGTGAGTGCATCGTTCACAGTGCTGTGAAAAGTATTTGTTCTCCTGCGACTGTCTTCCGCTCTTGTTTTGTCCTATTTGTTTGTTTCTGATAATCAACACCTGTTAAATCACGAACTGCAGTCACAGAAGCGGTACGTGTCTAAAGCTCTCCAAAAGGAACACATCACGGATCAATCTAAATAAACTGAAAAACAGATGAAAAACAAATCCAGTGCAATCTATAAGTTTTGAATGGGTTACAACACCAGTTTTGAAGCTTTTTGGGACTCCAGTAAAGCATTAATGAGAGCCATATCTGTGTCTGCATTTGCGTCTGTTTTTCATCTGGTGGCAGAAAATGTTCCCTGTGTGGATGGTAATGAAACGATACAGACGTTCATTAGCCACAAAATATGAAACTGTGATGAACCTAAGAGTGGCTAACCAAACAAGATTATTCAAATATTGCACTGGTGACTCATCCAGGAGATCAGAAAAAAGAAACACGAAACATCTAACGCAGGGCAATTATCACTTGTCTCAGTTAAAACTGATGTTCGTGATTCTTGGATTACAAAAATAAACTGGGTGAAAAAAAACGGCATCCATTGGAGAATCCCAAGGCGACGACCCCTGCTGACCAAAATGAACACAAAAGTCATCCAGGCTTCAATTTGACAATAAATTAATTTATTAATTAATTAATCTGAAAACCTTTGAGAAAATATTTTTAGACTGACTAATAAAAAAGAGGACATTTTGTGAAACATTTCAGAAAAATAGTGCAACGGTCAAACATGGAGTGGGTAGGATGGCGATCTGAGGCTGGTTTGTTTCTTCTGGACCCAGACGACTTGCCATAATAATGAGAACAACAGATTCTGCTCTCTGCTAGCATATTCTGAAGGACAAAGTCTGGGCACCAGGTGGTGATCTTAGGCCTACAGTTGGACTGACGCTGATCTGAAGCACGCTAACATGTTCATCACTGAATGGTTAAAAACACTGAGTGTCTTGAAATGGTCTCGCCACTTCACAGCAGAAGATGTTCAAAGTTACTTTCTTATACGTCAGCAATATTTCTATAAGAGTATCCACGATCACTGTTGCTGGTTTTCAAATCAATGGCTATAAAAATCACTCTTTGTTGTCGGTTCATTTGACGTTTTCTGCCCAGAAAACCTGAAAAAAATCCAAGTAGACAGAGCCATAATGACTGTGTCTGTGAAACGATCAAAAGAACAGATTGAAAATGTATGTATTTATATATTTGTTGGATGAGTCAAACATTCAAACCTTCCTGGAAACTTGAACTGTGCGATTGTCCCGTACTGTACAGACTGTACTGTCTAAGATTCCTCCCAGCCTCCAAGCCAGGAAGGTGATAAACATCCTCTAACAGCCAGAAAACATAAAAGCTCCAAAAATAGTCTCTCTTTGACTAAGTCTGACCACAGCTATGAGCAGCAAACCAGTTATAGCATACTAGCTCATTTTTTTGGACATAATCCTGGCCACAAGGGTTGTACGCGTAATCACGACTAAACCTCTAGAACGTCTCTACTTGGATGAATGATCTCAGCTTAGATCAGGTCGAAATGAGCTGGCACTGAACGTTTCAATCAGCGTGGACACTGAAGAGACATTCCACAAAGCAGATTTATATCCAACGAAAATGGAAACGCCTTAACTGGAATGACAGCTGAACTGGTGAGCGTCGCTCACACCCCTGTGGTGTCTGCTAAAACAAACAGAGGAATCACTGGAACAGGAGTCAGGCCAAATAATTACAGCATCAATATTTATTTCACCAAGGGGGGGAAAGGCAAGCAAAGCAACATTAGTACAGTTTTATGACACAGCATGAACTTCTTTCCCGCTTTTATGAGAGAGGAAAGGAGGGTATTGGTAATGTACTTCAATAGAAACTGAGTAATTCTTGTGGGACATTTAAATGAGTTACAACATCACAACGGTGGGGGCTTTGCCCAACCGGGTTTGATAACTCCTTTATCAATTTCATCGCTTGGCTGGCCTGTGCTTATGAGCACACATCATTAGGGCAAAAAGCAAGGCCTGAGAATTTCTAAAACCAAAAGAGAGCACGCCACCACGGGAGACGGAGTTAATACAACACACGTTTTCTTTTTAAAGAATATAGAAATTATGTGTTTCAATAACATTTGCTACGCTGAACTGGCATGACGTCCTTCCAAAAGACCTGAAAAAAATTGTATTCGTAAAAGAGAGGCATTGTTGCTTCAAAGCGCCACAAGCTTGCAGCTCAAAATATCTATAATCAGTTTGCTTTCTGGATGCCACATGCTCTGCGAGGAGAAAAAAATATATATAATTCAAGCAGGCTGAGAAAAACCAAAATAGGGTCCTGCTTCCACGAGCCTCATCCAGTTGTGGACACTCATCTTCTTACATAAGAGAGTGCCATAAGTAGAGCTGATAGACTTCATGTGAGCGCATCCAACTGCTGTTGCAATAAGCAAACCATGAAGCGTCTGATAAGATGTGTCTCTTGACCGACGGCGTTGCTCATTTGGAAGAAACGTGACTGAGTGCGAAGTAGATGAGTCGAACAAGAAGAGTCTGGGAACTTAACTGGGTTATTCTTACCAGAACGTGGGTGAGGACAATTTTGATGAGCGGTGCTCCAGAATGGTTGACCAACAATGGCGGTAAAGGCTCCACTTTCAGAGAAATCAGGCAGCTTGCTATCTGGATCTTGTGATCCTTGTAGTCAGCTGCTTCGGTAATCCTGGAGAAAAAACAAAAAACAATTCAGTAAAAATAAGGATCGATTTCAACACTTGACAGCTCAACACTGAAGAGCGTTTTGCATTTTAAGCTCGCATACTAAAAGTTGGCTACTGACACATGAGTGTCACACACAAGTCTGGAGAAACAGCGCAGTAGCACTGAGATGGGATTTTGGCCATCTGTCTTTTTAATGAATTAAACTGACAGCCACCAGTTTTTCCAGCATCATCTGATATGTGACATTATGATCATACAAGCATCAAGATAGATGGAACATTTCTATCCACATAAAAGTCCCATAGGTCACAAACATCTGGAAATGGGCAGCGATATGGTGCCATAAAGTATTTATACCCTTGGACTTTTATTTATTTGTTTTTTCACCTCGTCTGACTTTACAGCTATAAATTCTTTGTATTTTATTGAGATTTTGGGGAGGTTGACTATAACTAATCAAGTGTTATGAAAAATATTTACATAATTTAAAAAAAATGTACTATTAAAAGTATGAAAAGTATCAGTATTTGTATAGCAGCTTTGTGTAGCTAGAGCCTGAAGGTTTTTCCCAATCTTCCTGCCAAAATAGATCAAATTCAGTTGACCTGAATGGAGAGCATGTATGAGGAAACATTTGTAAGTGTCACCGCAGTTTAGGTTTATACTTTGATTTGGCTATTCGGTAATTTTTTATGTGCACCAATCTTAGCCATTCTGTATGCCGCTTTCGTGCTGGAAGGTGAATCTCTGCAAAGTCTTCTTCCACCTTACTTTGTCCAGTATTTTAGCACCGTTCATTTTCCCAAACAACTCTGTATTGCTGAAGTAAAAACATCTCGATACCATAATGCTGCCACAGAGGTGGTACATTCAAGGTGATGTGCAAGACTCTAACCGTTTCTTGAGTAAGTTGGGTACAAGATTTTGTAGAGGTATCAGAGAAAAGAGGTTTGTTTTAAAAAAGAAAAAGGAAATCGTGTGTAAGTTTTCTTCCACTTCACAATTAAAACGATCAAACTTACAACAGTACATCTGCCCCCAAAATCTCAAAACGTTAGTGGCTTATAAATACTTCTGCAAGTCACTGTCACATCGATTTTACTGAAGATTAAAGTCGCCTGATTGCTGTGTTTATGTTCATCAAGTGGGTTATAACGGCAAGAGCGGATGTCTCGAGACAATCCAGTGATGTGACAATGACTGAGAGAGTAAGTGGGTGGCTGGGGGGTTCAGATATGGCGTGTTAATAGCAGGGTGTATCAGTCAGTGGAAGCTGAGTGGTAAGATGAGAGATAGGCAAAGAGTACAGATAAGCTCCTGGCTCCAGGCTTCAGCTGCTCTGAGGTTCAGGAAGTTTGAGGCCCTTGGACACGATTTCCCACACAGTTAGCACAAAGAGAGGGGCTTGGTTCAGCTTTCTTTCAAATAGCTTGAACTCAAAAAACAATACCCACAAGCTGGAGCACAAAAGGTCAGCCCTTCCTCTTACCTTGTCCTGACTGGGCTGATTTCTTTGTAGTACTTGTGCATGTTGTGGTAGAAGAGGCCAACAATGGTGGTTTGAGCTGAAGACAAGAAGCAGACACACGGAGGCGTAGTCAGAGGAGAAACAGGAATGTACGACAGGAACGCTAAAATGCTCACAAAGAAGGGAAGTTAATTAACGGCACATTGCCACCGCACACCGGCACCAGCCGGCTAATGGGAGAGGAGTATAGTCTCACAAGGGTGAAAGGGAGAATGCCACATGGTTACGGGGAATACTTATGAAATATTTTCACGACTTCAGTGGCAGACCAGGAGGTCCGGTGTCCCTCCCCTGACCTTTCCCTCAGCTCGTTTCCACCTCCATACAACGAGATAAAAAGTGAAATCGGAGGAAATTCCTAATGACCCTGTTCCTCTGTTCAAAGCTTGAAGCTCGCTGAGAATGACAACAAGGCCTCGAGTATGTCAACCGAACGTGCATGAAAAGTTCATAGAAATATAATAATAGAAATATTATTCTAACCGAATGCCTCGCAGCAATCTTCACAGAGGACCTCGTCTTGGTCAGTTTCCTTGTTCGGTTCTCCAAAAGAAAAGAATGAACAAAGAAAACACCGTCTGAACACTCCAACGCGTTGCATTCTCTGTGCTCTATTAGGATATAAAAGCTGCCCTTTGAGCATTTTACGCTGCCAGGTATTCAGGCCTATGACTTAATTTGGCCCCGGCTCTCGTGTGTCAAGCCATAATGTTCATTCCTCTTCGATACGAGTTTGTAAATGAATTATTTAAGCTGTTTATTTTTTGTGTTTGTGTGCCAGAACACGGCATGGAGGAACACAGATGGAGCCGGGGGAATCCGACCTCTACGCAAAGTCGAACAAACAACGCTTTAATGCCCAGTGTAATTACTCCTCTCCCTCAGTCCACTGCAGGGGCCCGTTCTTTTTAATGACGGAGTGAGGTGGAAAAAAAAGAGGAACGACTTTTATTTGTTCTGTTTTAAATGAAAGGGTAACTACCTACAGTAAAATCATAGGTGGGTTTCTGCAGGGCATTATAAATCCATACTAAGGCTTTCACCCTAACCCCATGTTAGACCGCATGCATTTAGCAGTCTTACATCTCAGCTTATTGTAACAAGAACTTCCTGGATTGATATATTTGTATTGCAAATTCAATGTTTAATGGTCCATTTCAAATGGTAGAGTCCACCTCCCCAACTGGAAACAATTTGAATAATAATTGTAATAAATTGTAATTGTAATAATAACGCAACATGTTCATTAAAACATGAACAGGTTGTATTATTTACACTTACTGTGCATTGCAAATGCCTCCCCAGGCACGGAGATGTAATTCCTCCCCTGTGTGGGAAAGCGGTAATGTGGCAGATTGAAGTTCTCTGGCAGCTTCATCAGGGAGTAATCTGTGAGGGGTATGCAGGGATCAGAGTTTAGAAAAAAAAAGACTGAGAATGATAAACTCAGAAGCAAACAATAAAACCGATGCGATTTGTAAAGAGAAAAGTTTGGGGAGTGAAAGTTTGTCCATATAGCAGAGAGAGAGCAAACATCTTTCTGACCTGCAACCAAAGACGTTCCGCCCAGGGAAAAGGGAGAGCCAGAGCTGAACTCCAGCTTGGTTACCACTTGTCCCATCACAATGTCCACTGTCTCAATCAAGCTGCTGACCACCGGGTCGGCCTGCTGACGGACGATCATCACAGGACAAGGTCAAATTTTGCTGCCTTTCGATGTGTTGCTTCAGTTTATCAGATTTATGTGCATTTCTTCTATACATTAAGATGAATTTCAAAGGCAATTTTGTATTTTGTAGTTCACGTTAAAGGCATGTCAACTTTACAGAGAAGCAATCTCATCTGAATCTAACGTGCAAATAATTAATTTAAAAGGAAACAAGTGTCACAAAAAGTAGTGATATTTGATAAATATGAAGTAAAAGGAAAATGATGCATGATTTTGATCATTTCAAACGACTAAGAATTGGACTCCCACCTTGGTCAATACTTCGTAGAACCACCTTCTACTTCAGCCACAGCTGCAAGTTTTTGGTACATATCTCAGCTTTACATATTTACACTGAGAAAAAAAGAATACAGCTCCAACTTCAATAAGTTGCTTCAATTGGTTACAACTAGTTCAATTAAGTTTACCCAAGTTTATTTATTAAATTTGGTCAACTTGAGAGTTTAATAAACATGATGAACTGACTGGACTTAATTGAATTACTTGTTGCAAACTGATGCAATTTATTTAAATTGGATCAATTATTCTCTTTTCTGAGTGTAGAGACTGAAATGTTTGTCTAATCTAAGTAACTTTAGCACAGACAATGTGATTTGCTAATATATTTCCACAGATTCTCACTTGAATTTTTTGCATATCAGAGCAGTGAGATTTGACCAGGACAACTGTTGATCAAAGGAAGCATCATATTTCCTTCAAATATGTTGCTTTAGTGACACTTCTATTTCTGGCAGTGCTGTGAAATAACTTCCTTTGAGGCATTCTGTTTAAGCGAAAGCACCATTAATGTCTTTTACTGTCAGAGTTTCAAGTGCCTCTCATGCCAAAAATATGCAGCGTTAAAAACTCTGAGTCAATGACCCGCTTTTGTGCCTCAGCTCTAAGCAACACTCAGATTGCTTCTGCTATAGTTTGTCATGCTTGGACCTTTCGACAACAACAGAGTGGCCTCATTTACCTCTGGCAATCCTGGAGAAGTCAGAACTTCCTCCACACTTTTGAGAAAAGCCTGGAAGGAAGAGAGCGGACATCATCATCTGCACACGGGTGGCCTCCGTGTCTGCGTGTGATCTTATTTTGAAAGCGTAGTGATATGTTTTTTTCTTTCGTGCTGTGTTCCAGGACCTGTGTGAGGTTGTTGGCATCGTTGTGAGGAATTGTCCGGTTGGGCAGCGCGCTGAGGAAGTCCAGCACGGGCTTGGTGCTCGGCCCCTGGGAGCTCTGGACCTTCTCCTGGTGTCCGCTGATCACGGGAGGACTCCCTTCAAAAGCTCTCTGGGGAGACAGCGCAAAAATCATTTGGAGAAGTTTATGAATAAACACGGAGCTCCAACGTACACAGAACGTGAAGTGATTGATTTCAGGGGAATACTCTAAGTAAATGTATCGCTGTTTCTCTATACAGTGTGTTAGAAGAAGCTGTTCTCATGTGCTGCGTTTTGAGTTTCTGAGTATGTTTTCTACCCCCAAATCTGTTATAAACAGGTCTCTTCACATGTGTTCTCAATATCTTTCTTTTTATCTGTTGACAAAATGAAAACAGTGTCTCGGTGAGTAATGAATTGTTTGTGCATTTTGAAGCAAAAGGCCCCCATTTCCCACTTCTGTGATGACTTTATTTTGGTGATTTTTTCCCCCCTCCCCTTACCTTTTCTTTGTAGCTGCTGCACTTCCTCTTAAAACTCAGAAAATGTTGATGTTAAGCTGTATGAAGACGTTAGAACTTATCTTATTGAGTCCAGAGTCAGAGTCATTTTGTACTTTTGCAGTTTTTGGTTGTTTCACCTGATGATGACAACCGATGACTAAAAGGTGATTTTTCACTATCTCCTCATAGATTTATTTTGTTTGACCAAAATAAATATTTTCCACCAGCTGGAGGTCATTCAGAGTCGATTTGGTTTGATTAGAGGTCATAATTTGTCAAATGTTATAATTGCTGCTGGCAAAACGAGAGAGATATTAAACATTAGAAAAAAAAACATCTAGAAATAATGTTTCTATGATTTGTACCTACAATTGATCTAAATACTTGGCTAGCAGCAGAAATAAACAACATACAAAACTTGTCAGGCAAGTTTACTGGCATTTGGTACAGATGTGTGGAAACATAAAATAAAATGTGCCAAATCCTCTCTTGGATTCTTTCAGAGGCAAACTCTCTTCTTCATGTCTGACCAAATGGAGATAAACATGAAGAGGAGGTGCCAGGTTGAGAACAAGTTAATGAAATCAATCAATCAGTCAATCTTCCAATTCAACAAGCCAAAGGAGTCAGTAGCAGAATAGGGTGTTCAGCATTGGTAAAGATGACGTCCAATCTTATCTTTGGTGCTCAATTCACAAATGCATCTTCCTTACAACTGCGGCCAAAAGAATTGGCTTTTTTATCATATGGGATTTTATCTGGAAAAAAGCTTTGTTACAACAAATGAATTCTATGTTTAATTACCAATGGATCGTTTTCTGTTTCCGTGGAGTTTAAGCACACCTTAAAACACTGGCTCTTAAACTACTGGGCTGAACACATATTCTCCTTGCCACCATGCGCAGTAGCAGGATGATAATGGGGGTAAATAACTCTCCAGAGCTTTAGAGAACTGAAGCAAAGTGTGTCATTGTGGGGGGTCACCAAAGGTTCATCTACAAGCCAACCGCCTGCTTGGGAGTGATTGCAGGAAAAGCCTTATCTGCACTGCGGTCACAAACACAAAACTCCACTGGGACCTCAACTCGCAGCATGTTTTGATCAGATTACATTTACACCGAGCTTTTTGATAATTACCAAACCAAGTAACATGAATAGTGGAGGACTTATGGGTCCTGATCTCCTTCAAATGCCATGAAAACCTGATTGGATTACAAACCACGCTAAACTGATTTAAAGGATGTTTTAAATAAAGAACTGCTGGATTCAACCAGGAAACATGAAAAAATGATCTGTCGTAGGTACTATAAATAGAGCAATGATCCAAAATACATGGCCAAATCAGTACAGAAATGGTTCACCAAGCACAAAATCTACCTTTTGGACCTCCCATTCTCCTGACATATAGAAAACCTGAGTTCAATAAAGGAAATAATCCAGGAATCTGGATGATGTAGAGACTGTTCAAAGAGGAACAGTCACATGTTATTAAATGACTAAGCGTCATAGCACTGGGACAGTAAGGTCAAGTAATGACAGCAGGAGTACCACTGATTCTGTCACTGTGGCTTTGTGAAGGTTATTCATTATTAACATAGAATTTTCCCCCACATGAATTAAATGTTGATTTTCTTCAGTGTGGCAATGTGTTGGTGTTAGTTGGGGTCAGAATTGGGAAAGGGGTAGAGACTCTTCCACGACACTTACACCTGTTGCTGCAGTAGTAGAGACATCCAAAGCATTTCCGTGCGTCGTCGCAGAAACCCCATCCTCGCCTAAAAAGAAAAAGGAAAAGGCTCTTTTCAAGTACAAAATACTCACCAGACCGTTGACCTGCATATCTGGTTGTCTTTTCCCATATTCGTTCCTTTTTTGATATTTCGTTATTTTTGGTGCGTTGGGAACCTAACCAGATCTGGCTGTCGTTCTGTAGCTGGATTTTATCAGCATAAAGCTTACTTTTTGATTGCACTCGGCAGTCGTGAAAGAACAAATGCCAGATCCTTGCAACCTCTATTAGACGTGAATGATCAAACACACATGTTGCCACTATAGAGGCTGCACAGGATTTAGATCAATTTTTTTTTAAAGTCTTCACACTCACTTAATGAAGCCAGCTCTTACAAGCTTCTATAAAATGACCATGTTTGGGTGCGCTTTAGAGATGCGAGTCTGAATCATTTCTGCTCTTCTTTGATTGAAAGAAAAAGTTAATACAGTAGGTGAGTCGCTGAGAGCTAAAAATAGATATTGTTTGCAAGAACAGCCAGTCTATTTGGTGTCCAGAAATGGGCTGTGAATTATATCACTTATGGAATTATCATCAGAGAAGAGGAGAAAGCTCAGAGCATTTTTTAAATGCTTCATGCATCACAGCACGGCAGTAATAATACGCAGCGACCAATCACCCTGAGGAATTAATGTGAAACACAAATGAATTAGATTCAGCCAACCGCGCATGTCGTATTGCGCTGAGAATTTCTAAGGCGGCGCTAGGATTTTCTAATTTGGATTAACACTCGACGGAAAGTTGTTATTTTTAAAAATCGCCTCCATCTCCATTTATGGCCCTCCGCTGACCAGAGGAGGTAAACAGAACAGAAACATTCAGGAGTGTGGAAGTTAACTCCTTGCATGTTGTAACTTGTCACATTGAATTAAAACGATCTGCCTCCTGTGACTCAACATGCCTCTACACTTGGTTAGATACTTAAAAGGCAGAACTATTTCAGCTGCGCTCTTAAATTGTGCGAGAGCCGAGGGGCGTGTGCCTGTACACGGTTTTCATTGTTGTTGTCCGTCACTGAGATTTAACGTTGACCCCTGTTTGCTCAGCGTCAAAAGGGAGGAAGCATTTTAATTGGCAAAGACTGCATGTGCTAGAAAGACAGGAAATACTTTCCAAGAGAGCACATTGTCCTACCTACAGCTGCTCTGTAATAGAGTTTGATCTGACGGGGAGAAAGGGCCCTTTCCCACATGGCAAATTCATCGAAAGCCCGCGTTACGTAACGACGATGCGCCTTGTTGTTCTCGGTTTTGAGGAAAACATCAGAACCGAAGTCCGCAGAACTCTCTGAGGCAGAGCCGGTGGGATCACCGTCACACAAAGTCCCATTGATGAAAACCTTTAGACCGTCCCTCTTGGTCCAGGTGAACAGAACATGCGTCCAATATGGACCTAAAATAGAAAAAATTGGGGGGATACTATTTACTGAAAAATTACAATTAAACAGCATTCAATGAATGCTTGCATAGAAAAAAAAAAAACTTTTTCGGGTTGATCTACTTTTTCAAAAGGAAGACTATATATCTTTATTGAATTGTTTATGGTGTGATGGAAAACTAACATCAGCATTGAGTTTAGTTTGTAGGGAGTTTACAAACCAAACTATTGAGACGGTCGGCATCAAGGGACAGCAATAATATTTAATCACAGGTTGCAAAAAATGCCAAGTCTTGTTATTTTTCAAAACTGAATACCTATGTAAAAATAATTTTAGTGATCAGTCAAAACATTTCTTTAAAAAACACTGATGTAAAACAAATTATTTACAGAAAGTAGTTATTTTTTTTTCCTATCAGTTCAATTGACCGTACTGTTCTCACATGTAAGGGAGAAGATGTAATGGTGCCTCCTCCATAATGCTCTCAAAAGTCAGGTTTCCCAGAAAAAAATACATAAAGATGGCCTCCTGAAGTTGATGTGCTGAAAGGTTAAATGTCAAGATTCAACAAGTTAAACTATTCTTGAAGGAAATGTTTTAGCTAAATGACTCATTTGAAAGACATGAATACTTCAATGTGCATGTTGTGTATTGAAAGGAGTCTTCTGTCATGCTATGGACTCAATTAGCAAATTGCCTACAAAATATCATTATTTTATATATTTGTTGTGAATCATAGAAACAATGTACTAATGCTACAACGCCTTTTTTCTATACAAACCCCAAAATAAATGCATTTCAGTCCTGCGTTCTCAACACTGGTCCACCTTAAATGATACATTTCAGCATTAATTATTCATAGAGTGAATAGAGACTAACAATTCCAATGTAATGATTGATCAGCTGGTAGTCCCAGGTTCTCCGTCTGCCTTTACAAAATTTGATTTAATCTAAAACTATTAGCGTGGTTACTTCCAAAAAGTTATCAGCAGCCCTATTTTCTTTGTGGTGTCTATTTTAATAGGTACAGAGCTAAAGCTGAACATTAAAAATTGAAGTGGGCATTTTCATAATACACTGGATTGTTTTTTTTTGACAAAATGCTTAGGAAAAAATATTAGTATACACTCTTTACTGAGTTCAGTCAACATGTTTTTCTTGTTGATGAAACATCTGCGACTGAAATCGTTTACGCAGTTCATCAACATATGTGTCTTAATATTTCCCAAAACATTTGCTATTACAAAGTGAAAGGAAGTAAATGAACAACAAGAAGGTCCCACAGGACAATACATTCACTGTGTGAAAACACATCTGCCTGGAGACCACAATACATTTGCTTTTTGCTTACAATATAAACCATATGTGCCAAGACCTCCACCACTTCTCAACTCATTCACAATTCCCTCTGAGTACCGCTCTATTTTCAGTTTTAATTAAGAAAGTCGCTCACATAATGCCCAGGGGTTCATTAAATCACCCTTTTAATGTTTTCCTGGCACTTGTGAAGTGGAAGAGGGACAGCTGACAGATTAGGACATTCTGTGCTATAGGTCTGGCATGACACCCTGTGAAAATCAGGCAGCTTTTGATGTTCTGGAACAGCAAATTCAAACCCAGATTGAGTTATGATGCCTCTTCACGAAACGCCCAGCAGCCAGAGCAAAACATTTATGATCGAGGCGCAAAATTTAATATAAATACAGTTTTTAAATCTGTCCTAACAAGATCGCATGTGAACCTTTTCCCTGGTAACTGCAGCTAAGATGTTCTGTTGATTGACAACACATCGCAGGTCTAACCCTCCTATTACCATCAAGTTAGCATGGATGGAAAATGCCAGGAGTCCCTCACAGCCATAAAATCAGAGTTAATTCTAGTCGCCTGAATAGAAGTTTGATTATAAGGGAGGTAAAAAGCTCAGCTATATTTCTGCTCCAACTCAAAAATGATCTCAGGCCAAAGTCTTGTGGCAATAATACCTGATACCAAGTTTATGCTGTATGTTTACTCTTAATATAACTCACGTAAACACATCAGCCTTGGAGCTTTTTCAACGCACACAATGAATATGACTGACCCAACATTTTCAAAGGAATTCAAATCAAACCTTACGCTGCTAGGACTTAGTCAATCTTGAATACTCTATTGACAAAATAATCTGATTGATTCAAATGATGAAAAACAAATAATTCTCTACAGCAAATTAAAACTTTTAACATGTCAAGTTCTATTGCATTTTTCACACATCAGAATCAGATCTATGTCCACCAGTCATAATCATCAGGCATAATTTCATTTTACACAGGAAATGGCTGCATATTGAATAAGATACACCTTTTTTTTTTTTTTTGCTACAACAAATAGACTTGCCATGTCAACAGTGAGAGCATATGGTGTCAGTTAAAACCATGGGAACAACAACTCTGTGTAGTTAAAGATTTGATCAAATGAAACATAATTCATATGGATGTGTACAAATCATTTTCTCAATTAGTCTTATGTTATAAAAGGGGTAGTTGTTTTTGCAGTACCTGAAGTGGGAATTTCCGCTTTCCATCTGTGTTTGTCGTCTCGCGTATGAAGCTCCACACGTCCCTTGTGAGAGTCTGCAAAGACTGTGAAGCTATTGGAGATAACTTTCGCTCCTGATGCCACAGCAAAGTTGGAGTCTGGCTTTTGGTTTTGCCAAAAAAAGGAGAAGGTCACTCCTAGAAAAGGATTGTTTTAATAGATTAGAAATTAATCCAAAACCCTACAATAGTGTATATATAACACATACAGCTATATTAGGCTCAAAACGACAGATTCCCTTTTTTATACTTTAAAGTATACTTTTTATACTTTAACATGAAGACTAAACTTTTTCAGTTTTGGTTCTTTTAGGATTACCAAAATTGTTATTATTTGTTAAAACTATTGGAGACAATGTTTTTATTGCTTTTCTGAAAACATACTTTTCCATCCTCACGGTAAAATTGTTTTACTTGAAGGTGTTTTGGGCATCTTTTCACATGCTTTTCACTACAGTTTGCTAGAATTTTGGCCCATTCCTCCAGGCACAAATGAAAGAGTGACGTATGAAATGTACTGCACCTACCATCCAGAGCACAGAGATTAAGATCACTGACGCAGGAGTTCTGGTAGTTTCCAAAGTAAAGAAAGAGGCCTCCGTTATCACAGTCCAGAAAGATACCCTTATTGTGTACTCCTTCAACAATGTCTGTAGCAAAACATAAATTACAGAAACACATTTGCTTCATGGTGTAAAATTGTGAGATTAGCAAAAACTTTGATGTGCATATTACGGTTTTCTCTGTTTTTCTGTGTACTTTTAATTTAACCAACATGAATGACTTCTAACTAACACCTACTGACAAAGTTACAGGATATATAACATACAGTTAAGCTATGATCTTGTGCTGCAAGGACAAACAAGCAAAGAACCAAACGGTGTGCACTGACTTGCTGCAGTGTGTGATGCACAAATGACTGTGTGAGGGGAAAGTGATGGATTCTCACCTACTATTGCGGAAATGTTAGTGTAGGCAGAGTCATTGGTATACACATAGGAAGAGTTATGGGAAGAAGGGAGCACAGTGTGGTTGTGGATTCTGACAGCTGGACAAAAAGAGAAGACAAAAACCATAATTTCCACCAAGGGAACAGTGACAGAAGAACAACAGAAGGGACGTGCCGCACAGGTATGAAACAGAGAGATGCTGGTGAAGGTGAACACAGAGCGATGCCACACAACATGCTCGTATCCATACCCGATCCCTCTTAAACATTTATGGCATTTCACCCAGTGCAACTGGGTGGCAAACCTAAAGTCGTGGAGTGGCTTGGAAAAGTATTCACACCCTTGAGGCATTTCAAATTTGGTCACATGACATCTATAAACCTCAATGTTTTTATTGGTCTGAAGCAATACTCTAAACTTAAATATTGTGTTTTCATGAGATGCAAGGAGAAAATCATCAGTCAGTGTGTGATTAATCAATATAATGTGTTTCACTTAGCGAATTGAGTTGCTGAAATAAATTAACTTCTCAATCCTGCCCAGCTTTATTAAATATGATCGCATCAGGGTGGTATTAGAAGTAAATCTTTTAGAGGTTGCAGAAGACTTGAGACTAAGCAGCTTTCCATACAAATCTAAACATAGTCTTACAATATTTCAGATAAAAGTATTACTTTTCTTATTCGAGTGGTTCAGTCAAAGGTCAGACCTAAATCTAATTAGCAGCAAGTAATAAAAGTTCACATTTCTCTTTAAGATGATATCCATTCGACCTGATTGACCTTGAGCAATTTTGTGAAGGATTAAAGGCAAACATTTCAGATAATAGGTGTGCAAAGTTCATACAGACACACCCCGAAAGACCTATCGCAATAACTGCAGGGTGCTGCAGGGACTGAATACAAATGTTCACAATTTTATTTCTATAAAGTAACTAAAAACATAATCATACGCAACTTCTTGGCGGTCTATCACATCAAATCCCAGGGCATGAAATTTCTGCTGTAAAATGATAGAATGTGACAAAGTTTGAGGGGCGTGAATACTTTCTGCAAGACACTCAATTTGATTGAACAGGTCGGATAACCATGGCAGGAGTGCGAATAGTGAACAAAAAGGACTTTCTGGACTTAAACTTAAACGCGGCGGCCATGTATGCTCGTACTTATTCCGCTGTCGCTGACATAACGCGGACTGCTTCCAATCTGGTCCAGCAGCTCGTGAATTCCATCCACCGCATCAAGAGGCCAATAATGTGCAGCCGTGGCCAACACCTGCAGGCCTGGACAAGAAGATCACAGGTAAACAAGTGTCCCTAAAGGACATTGCTCAGAGTTTATTATTACGCCAGCGTCCAGTTTTGGACGTTGGTGGGATAAAGAGATTGATGATGATGAATAAAAACAGCTGCAAAAGCTGTTTATGTGGCAGACCATTCTGATTAACGAGACATAAACAAATAACATCCCTCCATAGAAACAGACACTGGAGCACATTGTTTCCTCAAGTTATTGTATATATCCCAACCAGGATGTGGTCATCTGATATGTTGATCTGATAGCAAACAAAGGTGTAGCACAATGTGCATATGGAAAACTTGCCATTACCTGCATGATTCTCATTTGGCGCCACCTGAGCACAGACCTGCAAAAGATAAATCTGATGTTTAATAAAGTCTGACGTGCAGAAAATGAGCTGAGTGCTTGAAGTAGTTATCTTACCTTAAAGCATAAGACAAAGGCAGTAAGAAGTTGAATATGCAAACAGAATTCCATTGCTCTTGAGAACTGTACAATGTTATCTTTCTGAAACAACCTAATTCCCTTCAAAAAGACAACTCCAAGAGCAGTTAGTCATTGTCCCAGGATGAGGATGAAACAGTCCATGTGTCCAATCCTATAGATGCTACAATAAAAGTTCTAACTGTAATTGTTTTTTTAAAGGCCTAGATAAGATAACTTGAGGGGGAAAAAAAGAACCTCACTTCACAAATTATTGTGTCATAATCGCAAGTTCTAAAGTTAAAGTCCCACGCAGAAAGTTACAATCCGTCATCCACGCGCTCAGCCGCTTCTTTAAGTTTCTGCGCCTTGCATCTGGAAACAGCGAGGTGTAGTGGAGCTCAGCGGGAGCGCACTGGCTGGCCGGACTCTGCGTGGGAATTGCAAAATGTGACGTCACTGTTGGACCCTACGAGAAGGGGCGTTCGGGTGGTGCGTAAATGGAGGGATTTGTGCGTAATTGAAGATCGCGTGGCAAATGACGGAGTGTCGGTCCAAATTTTAGACACACGAGTAATTTGCATACAAAAAAAAAAAAAACAAACAAAAAACAAAACAAAAAAAAAACCAACAAAAAAAAAAAAAACGTTTTGGATTTATTTTCTGTGTGAGTACAACAAAATAGTATTTTTGCAGCCTCTCCATAAAAAGGATTAAATTAAAGCTTAACAAAAAATATTCATCCATCCATAAAAATCGCAAAGTACGTCTGACTTTACACACCCGAGTGAATTTATTGGCATATTTTCGCAGTCATTTTGCGGCCACGTGTTGCCACATCTTCAAAACCACTGCCGCCCGTGTACATCTCCACTTTCTTCTAATTTACCATAAGTGGTCTTATTTGTCTGTATAGTTCTGATTGTTTTAGGTTATATAACATTTCATATAATCGTGAATATGCTCAGTTTTCGAGTATTATTTAACCGTATTTTATTATATATATATATAAATTTATATTCTATACATCTTATATAAGGCTACACCGTTTTTACACCGCTTTTCTAATGTCTGTGAGAGATTATTGGTGTCGTTTAACTCAACGAAGAGCTACAACAATAACAACAACAACAACAAAAAAACAACAACAACTGACTCATAAGCAATGATTTCAGTACGAGATGGATTGATAGGTACGAAACAGCAAGAGGAAGGGGCGACATGATAACTAATAAGTGGAGGTATGAATCGACTAAGTGTCTCACTGACGGAGCCCATCACGCCTTTGAGCAGCGGGCAGAAGCAAGATCTTGCAAATAGAAGCAAAAAGAAGAAGAGGGGCAGAAAGTTACCAAAACGTTAAAAGCGTGAAATAACGCAGGAACATGGGACATGGAAAGGAGCAGCGCCAATAAATAAACATATAATAAATAAATTCTATTAAAAAGGACGAAAGGGAAAAAAGAAAAACAAAACATGCCACCGTTTTATGTGTCAACAAAAAGACCTATATTTGACTATTACTTTAGATTTTTGAAACTTTTAAGTTTTTTTTTAGATTCACAATCGACACCTGCTCCGTCTCCCAGTCTGGAGTCCAAATCAAGGCAAACAGTGCCACCTTGTGGTCAGGTAAATGATACTTTGGCCGTTTAATCCAATCCAGTCTTGCACGTTTATTATTTATTAATAAAACCTTCTCATGTAACTCGACTGCTGTCCTTGCAGCTGAGCTTCAGGAGAAGGGAAAATGGTTGGGTTCACATTGTTAGACCTATCAGACCCAGTGCAACAACAGTGCATGTTTGTGTTTTTATTTTATTAGATCTTCCTCTTTGTGCACTGCTAAAATCTAACCACTAACGCTGCTGCAGCAATTTGCACACAATTTTAGAGAAATTTTGATGATTGTCAATTACAATTGGAAACGCCTAAAAAAAGACCTTTACATTTATTTACATAATATTTAAATGTTAGATAAATTAAATAAAATCGGATTTATCGTTTATATTTTATCTGCGGCCCAGACTATTTTTACTTTCCTCACTGTCTTAGACGTTGCGCTAAGGCATTTATGTTGACATTATCCAACAGTGAATCGAACATGAACCGGAAGTGCTCTGGCTGGATCGAAGCTGGTTCAGATACTGTTGCTATAGCAATCGGAAAGCCCTGTGTTTTCAACTATCGCGTCGGACGTGTCAATAAGAAGGGGGGAAATATCGATTATTTATATAACAAAGAAACAAAAACACATTACTTGTGAATTGCTTCAGCAACCACTGAAGCAATTCAGCTCCGCCTGCAGCAGAGTTCATTCAGAGGTGAGGAAAACCCAGCATTTATTTTGATACTACACTTCCGTTTACCGGCAAGCTAATTTGCATATCAGCTAAATATTTAGCTTGGACCCACGTTTTTTTGTTCACGTAAATATTTAGTGGCTAGCATCCTAAATATTAAGTTATCAAGCTAATTTAGTTAGAAAATTAAACGTTTAATTGATAAAACATGTACTGTCGGGTTCAATATTTAATTTACAAAGTAAATATTTAATTCGGAGCTAAATATTTAGGTTGTAAACTAAACAGTTAGCTTGTGAATTAAATATTTAGTTGACATTCTGCTAAATGGAGGAATAAAATGGCGAAAATGTAACTTTTAAAAATAATTATTTTTTTCTATCACAACTTAGAATTGTTATTTTTTTTATCGTGTAATTTTACAAACGTGGTTTAAGACTTAATTTGTTACTAAAATGGAATTCAAACGCTTCAAGATTACATTTACAAACTTGCTGGCTTGAATAAAATTTGTAAAAATTTTATTGCCCAAAATGTTATGACAAAATGGTCGTGTTTGTGTATTTAGCAGTTTTTGACGGGTTACTTTTAATTTGTTCTGTAGTGGTGTGTGTGTGTGGGTGTGTGTGTGTGTGTGTGTGTGTGTGTGTGTGTGTGTGGGTGGTGTGTGTGTGTGTGTGTGTGTGTGTGTGTGTGTGGAGGTTGTTGTTTCTATGTACGTGAAACCGAGCTGGGAAAGGAAGCGTAACTCGGTGGGGCGGTATTGTAGATCTGTTGCGGATTACAAGCGTCGTCGTGAGATAAATATACTCTACAAAAAATTAAAGATAAAAATATAAGAATAAAAAAATAAAATTTTAATCGACTGTTTTGCAAAGGCGCCGCTTTAATCCACTCTGAAAACCAACTTCAGCGTCTCTGCTAGGGTTGTCTTGTTAAAGGATCTTTAACTAAATATTATCAGCTGATCTTTTCCGACAGTCACCGGAGCTTCAGTCCTCGGTATGGTGGGCCTGCTGTAGGACCACACATGGAGGTTCTTAAGGAGGACTGGGGTATGTTTCGCTGAAATTACCTGAGAAGGAGATGCAAGGATCGGACTAGGAGAGTGTAATGAAGGATCGCCTGGCTGAACTGGCTGCGGTAAGTGCTTCCCCAGCCTGGGCCGACACTACAAGTTGAACAAAAATGCATTCTTGTTTTTAAACTTTCGCAGAATAAAAGTCAAGTAGAGGAGGTTGCCGTCACTCCTGAGGACTGCAGTGATGGCTTCATGGAGAGCTATTTCAGGAGGGTAGGTATTACTGGATGCATATTAAGAATGGGGTTAACTTCACACAACAATGAGTTATTTGTCTGTCTTTTTTGACTAATTGAGGTGGAGGAAGTTAGGGGACTCATTGATAAAATCTCCTACCAAGTGGAGGAGGTGAAGAAGCTTCACAGCAGGATCCTGTCTGCACCCAATCCAGATCACAGTAAGTTTAAAAAACATTTTATTTTTATTTTGAGGTATTTAAAAATGCTGTGTTTGTTTCTTCATATGTTCAGTAGACGTTAGTATTTTTGATGGTTCTTGAGACTGAAGTAATCAAAACTATTTTGGGCTCAACTGGAGTTTTTGGTCAACAGATCTACTTTGCTTCTGGATAGAAATAACAAGCTTGTGGAACAGAAATCTGTGAACAAAAGACACATTTCCTTTCTGCAAAAACAGCCCCAAACATCTGACGCCATTATGGGTCTCATCTGTCCTGTTACAGACCACTCAAAGTTTGTGCACACTGTTATGTTTGGAAGTGTACGGAAAGTGTTGTTCATTATTAAAAATAAACAACTAAATCAAGTGTTTTAAAGCCACGTGATGGATAACTTATGATAAGCTGTGTTATTACCCGTCCGTCTGTTCATTATCTTTTCCTATCTTGCCACTGATTTGCCCATTTATGATTTATCAGTCATAAATCCACAGTAAACCTCTGTATTTACAGACTGGAGATTTCTGTCTGAAAAAAATGTGTACATTTAGATTTCAAACAAATGATAGGAATCCTGAAAAAGACACGAGACTCTTCCTGTTGCATAAAAGGGAGAACAGCAAGACAATCCATGACAGATTAAAATGTCTTGCCATCATCGGTATTTGTTTACTGATAACTGGGAGAAAACCCAGAAGTTGCTCATTTTGACCCTTGCTAAGTTATCTTAGGATGTTTGCTAGGTGATAGGATAAAATGAAAGGAGATTCAAGTTGTGCATAAAGACGATAATTCAGTATGACACTTTCTTTTCTTGCCCATAATTACAACCTGATGTATTTCCTTTCTGCATATGAAGGTACAAAAAGTCAGCTAGATGGACTGACCAACGATATCAAAGGGAATGCCAATGTGGTGCGAACTAAATTAAAATGTGAGTTTAGCTGTGATCGTTGCACTTTTCTGTCATGTGTTGTGTGAAGTCAGTTAATGCTGTCATCGTCCCTGCGCTAGTCATGGAACAAAGTATGCCAAAAGACGACGTCATTAACAGAGCTTCTGTCGACTTCAGGATCCAGAAAACACAGGTCAGAATGTGAAAAAACAATTACAAATCCTGTGTGGCTTTTTTTCAGTTTTTGGCGGAGCATTTCTGAAAGCATAATCAACTATTTAAATTCTAAAAATCTCAATGTGAACCACTTTTGCGGAATCCTCACTTTCCATCTTTATGTTTTATCTTCTCTTCAGCACTCTGTACTGTCAAGGAAGTTTGTGGAAGTCATGACTCTGTACAATGAGACTCAAGTGTCCTTTCGGGAACGAAGCAAAGGAAGGATCCAGAGACAACTGGAGATAAGTAAGGGATGGGTTTAGATGTGTTGCTTTTTGAAAATTAAGTGAATACAGGTTGAAACAGTATTTTTTTTAATGTAAGCAGAAAGAAAATATTTAAGAAGACTTATATGGTATATATTCCTGTACAGTAGAATTTGTACACTATGAGCAACATGTAAACATCTAAAGTTATTAAACAGCTCCCAGAATTTCATACTGAATATTTGACTATCCTTGTTAGAGATAACAGTCAAATCTATAGTTTTATGTCCTTATTTACAACATAACAATAAAGAAAAGTATATAATAGAGCTGTTTTCCTTAGTCCCTGTGGCTTTAATGATAGGCTCCATGACTCCACACAGCAGACAGAAGATACTGATACTGGAGACGTCTCCTGTGTTTAGGTTGCCAGGGAAATGGGCAGAGGGCTCCGAGTAACAACACACACACACACACACACACACACACACACACACACACACACACACACACACACACACACACACACACCCCACACACACACACACACACACACACACACACACACACACACACACACACACACACACACACACACACACACACACACACACACACACACACACACACAATCTTCAATCTCTGCTCACATAGACTTACACAGTTTATTTAAATCACCCAGAATGAATAGAGTTTGTACCAGATGACAGGTCGGGCTCTTTGCTCTGTGTATTTTGCTCAGTTTGTGTCCCTGAGGAATAGCCGTTGCAAGAGGTGTGACACAATAAGCCCCTGCACAGCGATCTCGCTCTCCAGGGAGAGTGTTTCACAACAGGAGGCAAAGCTTTCTGTTTGTAGTGTTTCAGCTCGAGCTTCTTTGTGAGCAATGTCAAGGTCCTTTGTACCTCTAAAACTTTTATCAATCTTGGGATGAAATAGAACATCTTCTGTTCTGTTGGAATTACAAGTGCCAATAAAATCTAATTAGAAAAACTAGTAGCAAGTAAATGAAATAGAATGTTGTTTCTGTTGTCCACAGGATATCAGCAAAGCGGTATGTTTCTTTAGATGTTAGGTAATCAGGTAGCACTTGGGAATGGAGCAATACCTGACATTCAGCCTGAAGCAGCTCTTGTTTAAGAAATCACTATAACTCCTGAAGCAGGCCTTTGTTTAGTCTCCATGGTAAATAATTGTCTGTTCTGACCCATTTATGATCATCATCACCACAGTTTTCATTACTGCTTCAGAGATGGACATATGTTTCCTTCTATCCAGAAGGATGTTAACTGCAAGCACAGATTACATCCATCTAGATTTTAGAGAAGTTGCTATTGAGTTGATCAAAAACAAAAACACAGCAGTCTCTTACTTGTGTGTTCTTGTAGCTCTAAATAAACATCTATTATTCCAAGGGGTGTACTTCAGCCACATGTGTTTATCCTCAGCAGTCATTGTTAAAAACAGTCCATCACAGCTTACTTAAAACCAGACTAATACATAGTAATGATTAATAGACTAAAGAAGCAAAAATTAACCTCAGGGGAAGTTGTTATAAATATCTAAAAGTGATCAAGGAGCAATTTGTAGTTGAGGTTTCAACTGAAAAAATCCAAGCAAAATGGGGGCACATTAATATATCATGTCAGCAATGAGGGAATCACTGAAATCCTTGTTAAATTTTTTTTTGGTGAGAGTTGAGATTGCTGATTTTCTGAAAAAGACTTAAATTATGTCATTTGTAGCTGGAAGAATGACCACCAATGAAGAACTGGAGGATATGCTGGAGAGCGGAAATTCATCAATCTTCACATCCGATGTACGTCTGTTGATTCACACTTGTGTCTTATTCTGATTGATTTAAAGTCCGTTCCTCTGATTTGGCCTTGTTGTGATCAGTTGGCTGAATGGAGGTCTATGTCAGCTGCTTTTTCTTATGTAGGTACGAAATTCCTTTAGCCATGTTTCAGGAAATCCATAATATTTTTGTTTTCCCCACAGATCATTTCTGATTCCCAAATCACTCGTCAAGCCTTAAATGAGATCGAATCCCGTCACCAGGACATCATGCGTCTGGAGTCCAGCATCAGGGAGCTTCATGTGATGTTCATGGACATGGCAATGCTGGTAGAAACTCAGGTATTAGCTTAGCTGGACACTTCCATGTCACAATGCCTGTCAAATATTGTCATTTTAGGGCTAATGCAAACTTTCAACAGGGGGATATGGTGAACAACATTGAGAACAATGTCTCTAATGCAGCTGAGTATATTTATCATGCAAAAGAAGATACTAAAAAGGCAGTGAGATACCAGAAGAAATCGCGTAGGGTAGGTGTTCTTTTTATGTCTAACATAGAAACATAAAATAATTCAAGTTCAAAGAAGTTATGTTCAATTATAAAATATTTCAAGTTTTCATTACGTCTTTACTTTGCAGAAATACCTGATCCTTACCTTTGCCCTGTTGATCCTTCTTGCTGTCATCGCACTAATTGTTGGCCTGTCTGTTGGACTAAGCAAACGCCCTCAATGAGGCCTGTTGTTGTCATTGCATGAGGTAACAGCCGCACCACACCCACAAACTCCAGTTGTTTGAGCAGAAAATTAATTTAGCCATTCATTTGAAAAAAATAAAGGCATGTAATATCTTGATAAAAGTAAGGATGCAGCAATTAAAGATTAGCATCAAATTTCAGAGGTAGGATTTTTGTTTGAGTTAATTTTCAATTTTACCAATTCACGTATGTCTTTAACTGCAGTCAAAATAACTTTTCTAGCCTTAAAGCCCCGTAAGATTACAAATTTAATCTTTTCTGAAAGATAAAGACAAAAATCACTTGGAGATTGGATTTTGAAAATCTAAGATTTGTGATTAACATGATTAACATAAACAGTAAACGGGAGTCTCTGTCTGTATTCCATAGATTGCACCACCTCACCTTAACTCTAATATTCCTACAAGGGTTTCAACATTTCCAGTATTGTAAACTCAAAGGAATAAAGTAGCATATTTGCTGTAATATGATCAATGGTTCTGGTATGTGGTGGCTCCTTCTCAGCTTACAGCTTCGCTAACTGAACAACATGTTCAAAGACAAGTGTGAACTGATGTCCTGTGGCAAGTGCCTCCTATTGAACTTGATAAAGTCAAAGAACTGCAGAGGAACAGAGCGGCATAGGGGCAAAATGAGCAGCACCGCCCACATTGTAGCTCTTTCATCCTCTCAAGTAAATGAACAAGTGCTATGCCTACATAGAAGATACTGCTTTCAATTTGCTGCCTCTGATTTCATTTTTAAACACGTCACATTTAATAGCTAAAGTTGAGTTGTTTAGTCACAGCTTCCACATTGAGGAGTGTTGCTATTAATGCAACCAGTAATTCTTAGATAATGTGCGTTTATGATTTTGGAGTTTCAGTCACAAAGTTGAACAACCAAGTTCTCTGTTCATCTCTGCTTGAAAAGTTGAATGAATTAATAAGTTCTACTTTCTAGTCCTACTTTTATGCAACAGTGACTAATTTCTCCATTTGTCCTGATTTTAGCAGACATTCCTCTATCTCACCTTGTTTGGAGGATCCTACTTTTACTGTTACTCAGAAAGGTTGGCGTCCAAGACTGATGGACTTCTTGGTTCACAAGATGTCAGGGAAAACGCTTTGACCACTTCCACCATATGATTAGTACTATTACAAGATTCATTTCCTTGGCACAGAGAAGTAAGTATGATGTAGTGCAGTTTGCACAAGATTCAGATTTCTGCCCTCAAAATACCTTTTCTAGCCTCTCTGCCCTTTGTGAGTTGAAACTGTTTTATTTAATTTTAAGAGACTCAAATGTTGTAATCTTCTTGTCTGATATTTTAATGTGAACTTGATTTTTGTTGTCCATCTTCTTTTTATGTATTTCTGCTGTATGTTCATTCATTTTAACAGAGCATAAAACCATTATGACTTGGGTGTACATTTGAAATAGAAACATACATAATTTATTGACCTTATATGGTGTGTAATGACTGAAATAATCGTGAAAAAAGTGACGCATTAATGCAGTACTCTTGGAATATTATTTCAGGAGCACCCATTTGAGTTGTTCTGTATTTTGTACTGAAGCTAAATAATTGAATCATTTGTTTAAAACATTAAGAATAAAAGGTTTGTGCAGAATCATTGTTTTTCTTTTTCATTGTCATGAAAAAGAATATATAGATATATGTGTGCGTGTGCACTATATACAACGATTCAAATTTAAAAGAAAGAAATAAACGAGCACAAACAGCTGTTGAATTCAGAAAACCCCGTTTTGGCGCCCCCTCTAGTGCGGCGCCCTTACGCGTTGCATACAGTGCATACCCACTTTTTGCGCCACTGGCCATTCTTCGCCTTTTGACGTGAGCTGCCCTGCAATGTGCGGTGCGCATCCAAGCCTTTGAAGCACCTGCGGAACATAAGTAAGCAAAACAATGTCGCAAAAAAAGAACTCGTTCTTCTGGGACAGATAAAGTAAAGAGGAAGAATAGAAAAAAAACTGAGGTAAAGGTATGTTTGCATGTCTGTTTGTAATCTAATGCTTGGTACAGCTGCTAATAGCTTGATAGCAACAGTTCAGCAGCCAAACATTTATTCCAGCGTCTTTGTGTTTGCGTGAAACTAAGTTGAACATGAAATTAATTGACTCTCGTGGTTGGTCCTATACATGTCTGAGGTTTTGCTTTGGCTTCAAACGTCGTGCTTGATGAGGAGGTATACAGTTTCTTTATTTAGTTTTACTTCCACCTGAATGTCACTATCACTGCACAGGATCTCCAGTTGCTTTTTTTCATGGGAAGCGGATGGTTATTATGGATTTAGTTAAATTACTTGTAATATGTTTGACATCTTTAAAAATCAGGTGTCCTGTCCTTGTCTCACTTTTATGTCTGTAATAAAGCTGTAATGAGAACTGATGAAGGTGGAGCCTTAGGATCCTTGGGTTTACTTCCAAGTATAAAGGAAATAGTGCAAACAAGGACGACCACTTCTGGGGCCCTCCGGACTCATAAATGTTTAGTGTCTCAATTTGACATTTTACAAATAATCTCTTGTTATAATTCAGCTCGCTATGGTAACATCAACACTGTAAATGCATTAGATAGTCTGAAAAATATTGTAGCTTAGAGTTTGACTTCTGAGGCCGATTATGTTAAAAAGCGGCGTCAGGTCCTAATATTTCATACATTGTGTATATAACATGTCAAAGTTTCGGAAAGTACAAGGTTTCTTTTTTGAGTATAAACTTATTTAAAAAATAATGACAAAGTGGGATATGTTGTGTGTTTTTCAACAATTTGGGCTATCTTTACATTATTTTGAAATGTTATATAAGATTCTTACAACCTTGGAAACAAAACAGGGGGTACTTTAATTTTCTTTGCCATTAGTTTACTCTCAATGAAATTTCCCAAACAGAAAACACAAGAAAAACTAATTTCCCAGTGCTTGAGTAGGCGGGGAAATCACATCTTTATTAAGGCAGATAGAATTAATAATGCAGATAAATAGCCGTTTAAAGGCTTTAAACCTCTTGGCACCTGCTGAAGTAAAAGAAAACATCTAAGGAACATACACGAGAACATTATTATACAGAGATGCAGCTAAGCACACAAAAAAGAGCACGGCATGTTACAATATGTAAAGCATAATGCATCTTTTTTAATAGCTTATTTTGTGTTTTCAATTTTTATAAGTCCAAACGATGCCACGTTCATATGTGACTCCTCTGGAGCTCCCAAGATCTTACTGCTACAAGATTCAGGTTCAATTTTTGACCTGAGGTCTTTTTGCTTGGAGTTTGCATGTTCCCTTTACGTTGTTTCTGGGTTCTCAAGCTTGCTTCCCCTGTCCAATGGTGTGTGTGTTAGGTAAAGTGTGGGCGTGTATGTTTAAGTCTCCTTGTGTTGCATGGACTGGCGACCCGTTCAGACTGCACCACGCCTCCTGTCCCTCTCCCTGCATGGATTAGTAGGTTTAGATGATGGATTGTTCGATGTTTCCACTTTGCCATGGAGATAATGCAAGAATATTTTTGTTCACTTAGCCCAATTGACACATTTGTGCAATAAGATCCTTTTCATCTCTTCTAATTGTGGCTCTTACTAAAAGGAAGTGACTAAGAAAATGTTTCGCTAGGACAGCTGGAGTTTATTTCAGGATGATTAAGTAAATCAATTGTAATTTGTTAGGTGTCTTTCTAACATAAACGTTAAAACTGAATCAACAGTTGAATAAAACAGACATAAAGATGTGCAAACTAACCCAACCAGGTCATAACCTATTTATTTTTCACGGCTCAAATGATGCAGCCCAACAGAAATTGGAGCTGAGAGCAAATAAAAATTCACAGGCTTGTACCGTAATCTGTTCTGCCCTGGGTGTTTGACGCGGTTTCCACAGACGACACAGTGGAAGCTGAATTGTACTGATGACTACTTGACCACTGTTCTCCGTAAGGTGTCATTAGTTCTCAGTCAGATTACACCCTGCATCTAGAATGGATCAGAATGACAGTGGAGGGTTTAATTGTAAGATCTGGTCCGATAAAGAACCCAATTTTTCAGACAGTAAATTTAAGCACGTATAAAATTAAATAAAAATGCATAAATGCAGTTTATTTCTATATTTTTCTGACTTTTTAACTATAATACTTTATTCTCTTGTTAGCGTGCAGCACAGAAAGATTTAAAATAAAAGCTGAAATCCTTCGACCGATGACCATAAGAATTTATTTTGTGGACTATACTTCACATCTGTGTTTCTGTTTAGGATTATTTAGGATGCACTTGTAGACATCCTGTGGCAGCTGTGCTATCTTTTGTGTCTTTTTGTGCCTACAGTAATCCAACATCCATTATTATGTAACTCTGCAGAATACAGATATTTATAATCTGAGCATGCTGGAGTTATGACATCATCCGGCACTGCTAACCATGACCAGCGTTGGGGGAAGCATGCAAACCGTTCTGTCATGGTGGGTTACTGCTCTTCACAAACAGGAAGTATCATTGAGATGTGTGACGTGGCTGATAGGTGGCTTATCTGTTGTCATGTACCAGGGGACAATGGGCTGTGAGAAGACTTGCGCGGCGGAGAAACTCCTGAGACCTCACAGGGAAGTGGTGGAAAGCCAGAAACAGAGGTTAGCCACAGCAAAGAGGAGCAGTCGGATGAGAAGCACAGATAAGGTGGGCATAGTGTGCTGTTTTTCAGTGTGCCGTTTGGTAAGCTTTCAGAGGAAAGGCTTTGACTGAACTGGGTCTGCGCACCGCCCGCATCAGCAACAGTTGATGCTTGAAGCTGTAATCAGGATGCAGCCACTGCTCTTCATTTTCTACAATCTTGCCCAGATCAGACTTCTCGGCTCATCTGGTTTCCTACTAACGTTTGAATAACTTGCTGAACATAAGCTGCATTGCATTTTTCCTGTGCTGTTCCTTGTCACTAAAAGATTACCCAACATGTTATTATGTAATGTGCATTAAAAGAAAAGTATTATTAAACAGAGATCTTTGCCTGTGGGCAGATTTGTCACGTGAGTAGCAACTGTGTGATATGTATGTCTGCATTTCTAAAAATTTAGGAAATGTTTAATAACTCTTGATAGTTCAGAAAAAAAAATTACGTAATAGGTCCCAGGATCTGACACTATTTGTGTTTGCCTCTAAGAATATTTCTACAAAGGTTAAAAAGAAACACTAATTTCCCTTTTCCTTTTCCCCCCTCAGAGAGGACTATGTTGATAACTGCACAAATTACTATAAAATAAACAACACAATCATATTTCAGAGTCCGCATCGAGAATCATTAGTACAGGCTCTTTCTTATTAAACTTTTAAGTTCCTACCTTTGCATATCTTGTGTATCAGTTATTCCTGCACACTTAGAGTAATTTTGTTAGGTGTCTGTATTTTCCCAGCTTGAGGATAATGCCTCAAACTGTGGTTTGCTGAAGTTTTGATAAGATAAAAAAATAACTTTGTGCTCCTTTCCAGACTGATTGATTATTGACTTCTCATCGATTCTTGACTCCTTAGATGAAGGCATGAGGTGTTGGTTTGTGATCTCTTTTAGCCTACTTCATGCTATCACACATGGTATAATTAACAGATTTATATTTCATTTGGTTCGGTAGTAATTCTTCCTGAGTGTGACCAGAGAAATTGAACCAAGAAAATGTAGTTGTTACATCATGGCGTTTCCAGGCAGAGCCAGGTTGTTTCGGAAAGCGTTTGTCCCTTAATGAATTGAACGAAACTGAATCATTATTCGAAATATTTAAGGTACAGAGGATGCTTTGTTCATAACCTCATATAAGATTGGAAAAAACTAGGTAGCTGGCTGACTGGCGGAGGACCTCAACATGACATCCTTAGTACAGAGAAGTGTCTCGAGTGGATTTACTAAGACTCCAAGAAGATCCTTTCTCAGAGGGAGTGAGACATGTGGGACCATTATGTCACTGATACAGCATGGTGCCCTAAAGTCATACTCCATGTAATCTTAAACTACGATGAGAGGAGTAACACAGGTTTGTTTCTCAATAGCACTGTCAGAGTTGGTCCTCTTGGTTCCACCAAACGCATACATATTTGTCATCAGATATGATGTGCGATAGGAATCTAAGGCCTAACTGAGCTCTTCTGTTTCTCTCCCAGATGAAACCAAAAACACAGATACTACCATCGTGTCTTCTGTGGACTTAGTTTTACCTTCCCATAGACATAAAAATTAAATGCTGTGTTTGTGTGCTTCATCTACACAGTCTAGTCGAACAATTTCACGCTGATGTTGAGTTAATGGGGCACACAATTTGGAAGCAATTGAAGAAAACACTATTCAATATTAAAATCATTTAAAATATTGAATATGACTTAAAATTTTAATTTCAATAAACGTCATACGCAGTGATGTTGGTTCCAAAGCTCTATGGGAGATTTTTCTTCCCACTGCTGCCACATGCTAGCTCAAGAAGAGAGCCAGTTTGAGCTACTGCAGTTGTTTTGGCTTTGCATTTTGTGATCAACTGAGTCAGACTGCATAATAAAATTACAACTGAATTATGCAGTATGAAATCGAATCTGTATCTGTCTGTCTGTACATCCACCAAATTACAACCAAATCAAAACATTCCTGCGCTTCGGTGCTTCGTTCTTCTTGAAAGCCTTGGCACCGAAAAGCCTGAGCTACTACGAGGCAGGCAGCTGTGTTTGGAACGTAAGCTACAAAAAGTACAGAGAAGAGGCTCAAAAAATATATTATTTAAATCCCTGTCATTTTGAACTTTTAAAATGTGAAGTGAAACAGTGAAGTCTTGATTCTCTCTTGTCCCATAACCTTGTTTACTGTGTGAAACATGCAAAGGTTATTTGTTGCGATTGTTTAAATAGTCTGAGAAACTTACACCTGTTTCCATGAGCAGATAAGAGTTATTTCACAAAGTTATGTGTACGAAACCTTTGGAATCAGCATTTGCCAAGTAATGGTAAGACAGCCAAGTTCTCCTCTGCGGCAGACAGTTTGCTCGGTTTGTCTTTGGGCTCCTGGTTGATGGCACATTCTTGTCTAGATATGATGTACAATTTGAGTGGAATAATAACACATTATATTATTATTATTCTGCACTTCTAATAGGATCACATGTTCAGTTTTCTAAATGTGTCATATCACTGCTCTTCAGAAAAGCTAACTATGCACAGATGTAAAGAAAAGCGTTTTTTAATTGACTGACTTTTGTTCTACCTATCTGGTGCAGTTAAGATCAGTAATTTTACTCTCCTCTGAAATGAGGACGAAGAAACCACTTGTACTTTCAAAGTTAGTCATGATACATGTTTGGCTTCAGTATTGTTAATTTTCAGAACACCTTCAGATGTAAGCCCAGCTCTTTCTTGTTTCCACACTCAGCTTTTAGTGAACGTGAGTCTTTCAGTGAAGGGAATGTCAAAGCAGTTGTTTACACCTCCAGACGTGTCTAAGTCAGTTTGGCTGAGGCAGGCCCAGAGCTGCTGCTGCGCTGCCCTCTGACATCCGTTGACAGCTGTCTGCACAGGTTTGGATCCCTTTTAACATTCGAAGGTAGTCAGGCATCCACTGCAGCACTATTTAAAGAAATCCATTGAACTAACACAAGTCCAGCAGCAGCATAACTAGCTGTGACGCTACATGCGGTTACTACTATCTTCCACCGTGAAAAACAAACTAATTCTTGAAGATAATTCTGTTTATTTATTCTGAAAAATGTGAAAAATCGCCCCTGTTTAGTCAATACGATAGAAGAGGTATGAATATCCCAAGATGTTGCTGAAAGCAGCCATTATGGTTGAAACATCAGGTGTCCTTCCCGGTAATTTTCAGAGCTCAGCACCTTTTTTGATGAATGTTTACACCGCAGCTAGAAGACATGTGTGGGAGGCTTTGACATCAACTGTGTACCTAGTGTAGTATGTTTTAACAGGTGCTGCACAATATATGCTCTCGACTGGGACTGTACAGATTGTCCCGCTGGAGGGGAAGGGAGAGTTGTAAAGGGGCAGCTGTGTGAACGTGACGCTAAGCGTCCACAATCAGCAAAGTGTGTTTGTTTTTGGACCCTGCTTTTCTGAGAGAAAAATGCAACACCATCGTCAGCCACAGAGGGCAGCCACACTGTACATGATGTTCCACTCTGCTCCATATCTAAGCAGTTGGGGAGAAAAAAAAAACCCACACCAGGATGGTCAAAATAATCCCCTTTAATACCCTTCTGCACTTTCCTGATCTGAGATTGGATGGTAATGATGTTACGGCTGTTTGTGATAGCTGATTGGTCTGGACCACTGTGCAGTGAGTGAGGGTTTCACAAGCTCAGCCTCCAGGGAGGTCTCGGTGGCATAATGACCCGTGACGAGGCAAGGCACTGTCCTGGTGTCAGTTGGCAAAAAAAAAAAAAAAAAAAAAAAAGATTAAAAAAATGTAAAATCCGAGAAGGGAAGGTGCTGCAACAAAATCAGGAGCATATACTGGGGTGGGGGGGTTCCCTGAGGAACTTATGTGACCTTGCGAGCTTAAATCCTGATGGCTCGTCGACAGCGGTTGACGGGGCAGTGTGCTGAAGAATGTTCCTGGGAGCGTTCATTGATTGGACTGTTTGTGACTGCTGAGAATAAGACGGAGAATGACCAGTTCTGATCTAAGAAAAACCAAAGGCGTCCTGGAGAGGGAGTGCTGCTCAGTGCTGCTGCGCATTGCACTGCCTCTGCACCCCTGCGTGCTCGAGTCTGTGTGACTAAGCGTGCGTGTGTGTGAGAGAAAGTGATAGAGAGGGAGAAAGCAAGGGGGCGTGTTGATGTGTGTTCTCTGCTGCACAGCCTCGGTAGTGTGAGCTGAACGATGCTCGCTGGCCGTCTCTCTCTCTCTCTCCCTCTTTCTCTCTTTCTCTCTCTATCGCTCTCCTTGTGCTTGCCTGGCTGTGCCTCTTTCTGCCAAGCACTGATGAACCATTTTATGCAACATAGCTGCCATAGCCATCGCTGGTTTTCTGTCCTCCCAGTACATTAGGAAACACATGGCATTTCTTCGGCACTTTGTGCAAAGGTAATGTACCGTCTCCTGTCTGCTGTCAAGCCGTGTATGTTTCGCTGAGCCTCGGATTGTTGTCCTGACTCTGCTGCATGTTCCTCGCGGTGCTGGCGCTGGTGTAGGGAGAGGGATGCTCAGAACATTTCTTAGTGGCAAAGGTAATTGAAATGCACCCTGCTTCCTTGCTTACACTCATAGCCTACTTTGGTATGCATTTCTTGGGAGATGAATGAGCCTGTTTTGGTCTGTGCTGTGCAGGAATTGCAGCCTTGATAGTCTACAGAGAAGCCAGAGGACACTGGATATTATTTGCAAGCAATAACTCATTGCCTTATTTTTTTAAATTGCTTCAAGTCTGCAACAAAACGCTGCAGCGTATGGAAAGAAGCATTCAATTATAACAGCAAGTGCTGTTTTTTTATTTGTTTTTTTTAGCTTTATGTGTGATGAACCATATTTTTCTGGTGATTTTTTTTTAAAATCCTCAAATAAAATGTCAGTGTTTTTACATCTTGTGGATGCTAAAGATGTGTGTCAGTTTTGATATATGAGAAAAGGACCAAGGCTGAGGCTATCAAAGAGAACTTTCAACTAAAACTGAGCAAGTTGCTTGAATAGATAGTAATAA